CGTTTTTAATTTGTTGTTAACTAAAGAAAAATATGTTTTTTAAAATGTATACGTTGTTAGTGTCAAGGTCAGAACACCAGCACTTCAAGGGTAAGGAAAACGAGCAGCTTCTTCTATGCATTTACTCTATATATAGTATTATCATTTTACAAACAGCGTGACAGTTTGCTTGATGGGGCGTGCTAAAATATTGTGTGCTGCTTGTCATTTCACTCATCGATGGGATCATTGAAATCAATGCTTATTTGCATATGAAACTCGGAATACAACAATACCCCAATAATACTGGCCAATCACATTGAATAATTGTTTCCCAGTACGGCATTTGTAGTCAGGAGCTACACGTGGTCAGCCATAGCCCGTTTTATCCTCAAAAAAGCATGTACGAGGGACGTTCAATAAATAATGTCATCGGTGCTCGGAAAGAAGCAAAAAACGCTTTACAATGATTTAGCCTTTATGATTTCATTTAAATATTCTCTTTTAATTAAAACACATGTCCGTGACATTTTTCTCCAATTCCTGTTTCTTTTTAGAACACAATTTTGGGTATGACCCTTCGTATACTGGAATATGGCAGATGCTATGATTTCCTGGACTTGTTTCTTCTTTCTAAAAGGTGTTTTGTTCAAGTTTGGAAAACGAAACAAGTCAAGGAGTGAAAGATCTGGCAAATATTGTTGGTGTGACAAAACATTAACTTTCCGTTTTTCTTTATAAACTCTTTAACTCTTCATGGCGTGTTGGTTTTGACGCTGTCATGAAGAAATTTAATGTAGGGGATTCCTGATTTGGTTCCTGCCTCTGGTAAACCTTTCGATTTTTTTTTTTTTTTTTTTTTTTTTTTTTGCAAAAAAAAAATTTTGCTTTCTAGACTTCTCCAGAAATTCAAATGCCTCCCCGAATAAGAATTTGAACAATAATATCACTAATATTTAGAAAATGGTATATGAAACTGTTTTTGTGCTTTCGCAATTCATAGTTTTTCTCAAACCTTGGCTGTTTTTGTTAAGTGCATCTTATTGTAAATTTGTTTAGAGGTTTTAGAGCAACGGATTCAAGTTTCACTATCTATCTGAATTTCAGACAAACGTTGATAACAACAATTTTTGATTTTTAAAAATAATTCTTTAAAAATTTCTTACACGCTGTCGTTTTCACTCATTTTTCAAAACATAGGGTGACCATTGAGTTCTAAGCTTTTTTTCTGTCAAATGTTTCTGTAAAACAGTGTTAACTACCCCAAAACAATGCCTATTAATTTTGCTATGTGTCTTGAAGTCAATCAAACATGATCAGTGATAAGTTGTTGAATTTTGGCAAACAGTAAATTAGTTGTTGTCAGTCTTTGTCAACAAGGACGGTATCTATTTTTGATGCCCATTATATTATTTTTGTACATTGAAATCCACATGCTCATGTGTCTATAAAACATATATTGATTGCTGTAAATTTCACATATTTTAGTGACTATTTCTTTGGGATTCTCAACGATTTTTACTGCAGCTTTCATGAAGCGTTTAATTTTACTCCAGTATACTGATTCTTTACCATACATTTATTATGCAGTGTCTCGAATAGCCCCTGTTCTCCAGCTCCTCTCTTTAAAACTTTGTGAAGAAAAGTGGTCACATAAACTGTAATCAATTTATTAAAGATTAAATAATGGGAGAAAGTCAAGCTTTATGTCATATAATTTCTATGTTGTATGTCATAGAGCTTATGACATTATTTATTGAACGCCCCTCGTATTATATTTGTTGTGATTTGACCGGATGGGTTTTTAAATACGTATAACATGTACATGTTTTAATGACAGAAAACGGGCTTTGACTGACCACGTGTTGCTCCTGACTACAAATGCCGTACTGGGAAACAATCATTCAATGTGATTGGCCAGTATCATCGGGGTATTGTAAGAATCCCTGTTTCATATGTAAATCAGTATTGATTTCATTGATCCAATCGATGAGGAAAATGATAACCAGCACACAAAATTTTATCACGCCCCATAAAGCAAACTGTCACGCTGTTTGTAAAATGATAATAACAACCTATATATTTTATAAAACGTATTTTTCTTTAGTTAACAACAAATTAAAAACGCCCCTGAGCCCCGTGATATCTTTTATAGTTTCTAATGTTTGCATTTTGTTCATAAGAACATTTTTATACCCCCCGCTTGAAAAGTTGGAGGGTATATAGTAATTGGTATTTCCGTCCGTCCGTCTGTTACGCTTTGGGGTACCCATCTCTTATCCGCAACTCTCTCTCATACCACTGAAGGAAATTTAATGAAACTTTCACAGATTCTTAAGTACATATTGCCATTGTGCACGTCCTATTTTACTTTGTGTTGGGGTGTACTTTTTTGATTTTACAGAGCAAAACATGGGCACTGCCATTATATTCATATGGGAGGCGGGGTGTATCATTTAGTGAACTCATTGCTCATAGTACCTCTAGTTTTTTTTTTTTTTTTTGCACTCCATTGACATGATCATAGATTGACCTGAACCACGTGTTCGAAGTAACATGTAAACATGCATTTGGCGTAAACGTATTCAATCAACAATTGGTCAGTTGCTCGTGGTAAGATCCTCTGTGCGCACTAATAGCAATAGCCATATAAGGCAAACGAAGATTTGTCAGAGTAGATGATATTACACATTTTTTTTAACCAGCGTATCGGTCGCCATTGAGCTGTAATTTTAGCAGTAAACTCTGATAAGATGTATTAATTGTCCCCCCCCCTTTCCACCTTTAGCCACCCATTTCTGTTGAAAACTAGAGGTACTGTGAGCAATGAGCTCACTAAATGATACCCCCCGCCTCCCATATGATTATAATGGCAAAGTCCATGTTTTGCGGTGGCCGGGAAACCCAAAATATTTGTCGGATCAAAAAATAAAATAGGAGGTGCACAATGGCAATATGTAATTAAGATTTTGTGAAAGTTTCATTAAATTTCACTCAGTGGTTTAAGAGGAGTTGAGGATAAGAGATGGGTACCCTAAAGCGTAACAGACGGACGGACGGACAGACGTACAGACGGACGGACGGACCGACGGACGGACGGACGGAATTAACGATTACTATATACCCTCCCGCTTTTCAAGCGGGGGGTAAAATCACGAATGTCTTTCAGAAAGTGTGGAAACACATTTTCGACAGGACATGTTTTCAGAAGAAACAGACTATAGCAATTTCCTGTTATTGAGAATTTTATTTATAAAACCGGTTTTACCCTATAACCTTTGAATAGGTAAATCTCAATCACGTGTCTTGAATTTAAATCACGATATCATTAGTATGGGTGCCCGTGTCAATAAAGCAGTCAGGTGTAACGAATGCGAAGAGTATACCTGGGTGTTGATATCGTAGCTGGTATGATCGAAAATGGAGTTTGACTATTTACATGTAAGAGGCGTGTTTAACTTGAACTTAAACGAACTTTTTCGCAGTTGAGGTAGGAAATGTCTGTTAGATGGAGGCAATGTGCTTTTATAGTGGTATTGAAAACAGAGAATGATCTATCAATGAGGAATTTATAGTAGAAAAGAATGAAATCCAGGTGAAATATCTTGCTAAACATTTTCTGAATCATTCTAATAGATCTTTAAGAGATGTGTGTCCCCATATGTTACATTTTATGACAATTTTTAACTAAGCGGACTTTTCTAATTACAGTGGCATAATGATTGCTCGATTCATTCGATTGTCACTAATGTAAACAATAGTATGCCCCAGAAAAAAGAGCTTCCTCGATTCCTTCTCAAACGAGTGATACTAGGTTAGATAAATGCGAAGTACTCGCGATACTAATAAAATAATGTGATTATATATGTTCCCTTATTTTTCTGTGAAAGATAAACTAATTAATTATAAATGACACATCCGAAAAATCCCAAAGAAACAGCCATGAAAATTATGTAGTATTCCATTCTTTTCCTTTACAATGAAACTTAGAAATCTTTAATTTTTGTTGTATTCGAGATATGAAGGAACCAACATACTCGTCCCCCACGAAATGTAAACTTTCATAAACATAACTTTACTCTTCTCCAACCACGAAATCAAACCCCATCAAAAAGTCAAAAAAAAAAAATCAAAAAGTTTTCCGCACAAGGTCACTTCAATTAGGAGTTGACTCATCTTCAACGTTTCATCTTTGATAGTATTCCATATAATACCTCTACTGATTTTTTCCTTTATAGAAGATAAGCAATAAAATGTGAATTATTCCCTTGAAATCTCTGTGAATTGACTAATCCCTATGCGTAAGTCAAATGAGCTAATCCCTACTTCGAAAGCTAATTTCGCGGTTATCCATATTGCTCTAGATTTTAACTTTGTATCTGTCTAATATGTTAATAGACTAATCCTCGTACGTTAGTCCGGAAGCTAATTCCCCGTCATTCGTTATTCTCCTTTGTATTGGTAGAATAAAACAGTTAAAAGTACAGGTATATCATTGAGAGAGTTAGCAAGATTCCAGTTCCCCTTGACCAGGACTATTTCCCTTGGCTGAGACTCAAGAAATAGTCCTGGCCTTTGGTGAACTGGATTCTTGCTAACTCCCCTCAATGATCTACGTTAATTGTATAATATCTCTTAAAGGCACAGGATATCAGACCAGACCATACAGACCATTTGTAATGAATGAAATATGAAGCAAGCTCGTTGTCCATTTAAAAATAGAGAGCAGAGCAAACACGGACCTCCAAACATCATAGGTGGGATCAGGTGCTATGAAGGAGTGAGCTTCCTCTGCAGACCGTCACACCCGACTGCCGTGTGCTCCTTGTCATGATCGGGAGTAATAAAAAAACTAGTCAATTCAGTGTGTAAATAATGTACAAAAAATTGTCTGTAAAACAAAAAACAAAAAAAAAAAAAAAAAAAAAAAAAAAAAAAAAAAAAAAAAAAACGCGAAAATAGAAAAACGGGAAAAGAAGCTTTTATTTTTATTGAAATCTACACGAGCCAGCTTCGTCGTTCTATATTTTAGTTTTGCAGTCTTCACCGCCGTACCCTTCCTCACATTTACATTGTCTTCCAGTCTGGTGTTCCTTGCAATGACATGCGCAGGTGGTTTGATCAACCGTTGCACCGTTGTAGCAGTAGGTGTTACAGCGACTGGTGCATTCATTTCCTGTTGAACAAACCAGTCGTAATAAATAACAGTTTCTCAAGTACCTTTTTAATATATGTACATTTATCCACTTTTACTAATACTTTTATTGTATTTTATGTTTTATTTCCTATCTCTTAATGCTTACGCTTTAAAAAACAAACCCATTCACATTTAAGAATTTTCTAATCCCCTCCTATCTATATTTGTTTAAATATCATAAGAGGACTCTCTAATATTCTTTTTTTAATAATTTGCATGACATCGCCTGTTTCTAGTCGTATTGACGTTTGTGTAATATAATATTACATGGCATTGTAATAGTAGGGATACATTATATACCAAACACCTTACCCTTTTAAAAAATATTCACTTTTAAGAATTTTCTAAATCCCCCATTATCAAACATTTGCTAAAATAAACTTAAGATGATTCCAACCACTGTTCCAAAACGTATTGAAATTTATGTCATAAACAATAAAGAGACAGAGATATGCAAACAAAATGTCTAACTTAAATCTGTACAAAAAGAAGACAAATACATAAAGTAACTACAATATGCATAACCGTACCATAAAACCCCCTGGGACAGTCACAGGAGCAGATTTTTGTGTTAAACAATCCACCATTAGCACACTGTCCTTGACAAGTCTTAGCTTCAAAAGAAACAATAGATATCAAGCACATGGATATATAATCCTCCTAAGTGTTTATGTTCATCACCTTTCACTTATAGTCCTGAAGAATACGAAATTTATACAATGTAGTTAATATTGAGGAACTTTAATCACTAACTAGTCTTCAATTTGTGAAATAACTTGCTGATTTTTCGTATGTGAAAGTACGTGGATGAGATACAGATCAAGTATTTCTTTTCGTACCGCTTCAATGATTTTAACGGAATAAACTTTTAATTAAAAAATTAAACTTTTTGAAGGAGTGTCCGTATTTTTTGTAATTTTTTTAAATTATGATGTATACCAACTGAAAACATTATAATATTAGTGAAACAACAAATATTGAAAATGTTTGCTTTTTGTGGGACAACCATTGTATTACGTGCATATTGAGTTTGTTTCCAAGTTTAACCGAAACGCAAAACATGCCCTTCGTATGAATTCTACAACGAAACAAGCTATTGACAACATTTACTACCTTTAACAGTACCGTAGACCGAGGGTTCCTGAGAAGAAAAGAGGATCAGAAACCCTTGACCGGCAAATATGACGTTTTTCATAAAAAAGCCATAATTTTCTCAATGAATTGTCAACGGATTGCCTTCATAGTAACAAGGAGAAGATGGCAGGTGTGACCGATCGACAGGGAACGCTTACTCCTCCAAGCACCTGTTCCCAGCTAAGAGATCAGTGTTTGAACAAGCTGCTCCTTATTTGTACTGTGAGGGTGATAACTGTTAGTTTTCTTCACAGTTCACAAACATATATAGCAAAATAGAAATCCACCGTTCATATGCATTTGGATCTATTATTTTCTTAAAATGATTGACTCTAAGTATATATTTCTAATACCATTATGTTATGTTGATGTTTATTAAGATAAAGGTAAGGTAGCTTGTAAAACTGAAAATGTTTTTTAAAAATTACATTTCAATTTTTCAGATTCATTTTCCACTTACCATATTTGGGTAAAGCATACGCATAGTTAATGCCAGTATTTTTATTGTTTCGATATTGGTAGTGCTGAAAATATACAACTCGTAGTGAATTACAAAATTACAAATATGGATTTCTGTAATGTGAAATAGTATGTATAATACCTTTGAATAGTAAAAAGCTATTGCGATACAAGTGCTACCTTAACTATGATAGGTTCAGTGATGGGGCCTTTCGCATACACGTATTGTTTCGAGAAAACGTAGGACCAATACGTTCCTGCGAAATTTAATGGATTATCTGTCGTATCCCAAACTCCTTTAAGCAAGCTAGAGATAATTGCAAGTCCATCTTTGTTGTAGATTTCTGAAATGAAACATTATACGGTTGTATAAGGTAATTTATTTTATATACATAATTTATTTAAAAAATACGAGCTCTCAAAAGTCGATTCTGAAAATATTCTTGTCTGTTTTAAAGAAGAAATTTTCCCTGGCCTAGTATTACAGTAGTTTGTTGTAAATATTAATCACTTTACCTACTAGGTTCCAACGCATTTTTGAAAAATCAAACCAGAACTGTATGTTATACGCTCCAACAGGTATCTCAGTTATAACTTTTCTTGAAGCTGAAAACAGTATGCCGTAAGATGATTAATATATGGTTAAGAAACGCACTTTTAGGCATTAAATTTTATTTAACTTCAAGTTCATTGCTTTTTTACAAATGACTACTGCCTAACTTACAAGATATTTATTTATATATTGGCAGCTGGGGGTGGTGGTGGGAAACTGGATTTAATGGTGCAGTGAAAGGTACGCAATTTAATTGTAAGAGGCTAGAGGAAACTGTATTTGTAGAGATGAATTTAATCTAAATACATAAAGTTTGTGAAAATCTTCTTTAATAATACATACAGAAAAAAAGGAAAATAAGTACTTGGTATTTAAAGTTAGCAATTATATCATCCCACCTTTTGCAATAGTCTCTTTATAAATCCCTTCCACTACGTTACACGTAGAACCATCTCCATTACAAACACCACAGTCGTCATATTCAGCGTTAAGCTTACCGTTACAGCCAAAAAACTAAGGTTATACATAACAAAAGATAAGGGAAATATTAATATAACATCAAATTGAACCATAGAATTTCATTATAAGCAGTGCTAGGCTTTATTCTTATTCGTTATAATCGCTGATTACTACTGCACGAGGGTTGTCCCAAAATTCCGTAGACGAGCTTTGTTTTGTATAAACCCGATGTCATATATCAATGAAAAATTGTACATAGATTAAAGCAACACTTCAATAAATTTATGGATACATGTGGAGTAACTTCAAATAAATCCTATTTAAATGATGAAGTTCATTGTCTGAATTTGGAAGGTGGCGCAATACCCAAAAATTGCATTTAAAAAATAGTATATTATATTTAAAATCCTATGGAAAATTAAATACTACTTAGTATTGAAGGGTTAAAAAATAGTATATTATATTTAAAATCCTATGGAAAATTAAATACTACTTAGTATTGAAGGGATGGAAATGAAAATTCTTAATATTGCATTACTCCTATTATTATTTTTTTTATTAACTATATTTCCTCAAATTATGGTGATTATGATTTCACAAATATGAATTTTATAAACATTTTATAAAAACTGGGTTGAAATCCGACTTTTTGAAAGAATGGCGTACTGAAGTTGTTTCTCCATGTTTGTGAATAACAGAAACTAAAAAAAGACAGATCTTAGAACTGGGCAAGAGTGCCATTGTGCAACTCCATTATAGAAGACAGACGAAAAGCCAGTAGAAATAAAGGGTTTTTAAAATATTATTATTTCATACTTGTGCATGCATATACTTTGTTTCCATATTTTAATGTTTAATCAAATCATAATAAAGACATTTCACATTTATATCTAAAATCGTTTTGATTTATTAAAGATTGTGAATCTGGTAATTGGAATATTCTCTCCAAACGTTTGAACCGCCGGCATTATCTTTTTCGACGTTGCAGATTGCTCCGGGTATTAGCGAACGATATCACTTCAAACCTCATCACTCGAATTGTTTTCAAGTAAACATGATAAAATTTACTGATTTGCTAGGAACATGTTTTATCCACCCATAAAATTTTAGAGAGATACCTTAATTTCTTTAAACGATATGAGCTCAGTCTACGGAATTTTGGGAAAACCCTTGTATTACCCTGCAAAAGCCATCCAAACATCTGTAGGTTCTCTTGCCAAGCTTGTTTTTCTCCAAAACAACATTGGGTCCTTCACATGGAGTACCCTGGGGCATCAACCCAAACCTTGTATAATCTGGAGATGTGTAATTTGCTGCCGCTTCACAAAACACTTCGCATTTCATGTGATCTAAAGTGATAATTTTTATTGTTTAATTTGTGTTACAGTAATTAGTTTTACTGTAAATTAGATGCATTGTTGAAAAAAATTGTATGCACTTTACAATTTTATATTTCATTCATAGATTGTAAGGCTGGTAAAGCATATAAAAGCAATCCCTTACCACGCCAGTCCATTTGTTTCCCTACTGATGTGTACTTTTCAGAATCTAATACGTTATTCTTTAACAATCTACTGCAGGTCTCAGACGCCCGCTGATTTATAAGCGTTTTTATGTCTGCACTGTCATTAGGACAGGGCTACAATTAAATAATATCATAAAAAAAAGATGAGATTGCATATACACTTGCGCTTTTTAGCATTTTTACTGTATTAGATTCAACTGATTCTAAAACTTTAGCAATTGCAAAGGACGTTACAGTCGCTTATCAACCTACCCCAGGATTACAAGTCCTGGCTTCATATCCATTGTCATCTCCGCCTTCACAGCCTGGATGGTTCAAAGGACTGAATTGAAACAAAAAGCTAACTGCAACTGTGGCAGAGTGAAATTTGTAGTTATTTTTATCAATTTATTATGATTATTCAATTTATTATTTTCATTATTTAGAAAAATTATTTGAATCATGAATTTGTTGAATATTAATATATTTAAGCTACTTTAAGTTATTTTCTAAGATAAGTGTATCACTCATGTGAATATTTTTAACTTTTGCACACTGTATCTATATTTAGAGGGAATATCCTTTTCCTTGTTTTTCATTGGTCAGTGTGGTCAATTGTAAAGAATTTGGTCATGTGATACATTTGGAGGGAAGTTTTCTATTGTGTGTTAAATGTATAGTTCCTGTGCTGCAGTCTTTGTCGTGTCATCCATTTTTTTGTCCAGAATTTTATACCTGTTACAGTAATTGGAATCTTTTCTCATTATCAGGTCAGTTAATTTGTATTTACCTATATAGTCTTTATATTATATACATAAATATCTGTTTTATGATATTAGAAATATTTAGATACATATGCTATTTAAATGGCTGATTGCATTGAAAACATGAGGATAAGTGTAACATTTATTTTGTAAAGAAATACAGGATTTAAATATAACTATAGATATAGCACAGTGAACTGAATAGCTGAAGTTAGTGTATTTATTTTTACCTTTAGAATTCTCATGATCAAAGGATGTAGACAGTAGATTACTTATTGTAAGATGACCTTTACACCTCATGTGAGGTAAGCATTATTTCTAGAGTATTATGTTTGAAATATATATGTCATGATACATCTAGGCTCACAATACTGGTGAAATATACATGTAAATATTTTCTTTATGAATTCATGTAAAATAAGGTTTACATGATGGTATACAGTAAAACTTGAATGAGTTTATATTATCAGTATATTTGTAATACTTTGTTTATTATAATAATGAGCAGTCAGAGATATATTTTGATAGACACAAATATTTTTGAGTCTTGTGTATAAAGGGAAATAACTAGCATTTTCAGTTTATTCTAAAACATGAGCGTAAGAGTTATCTTTCTTACAATGTTGTTTATTAAGCTTTTATTATGTTACAGGGTCAATCTGAATCATTCTATCATCTGTCATTTCATCAATGTATCCAAATAAATGATGTAAACGTTACTGGAGTTAGTCATCCATCCATACAGAATTCGAACCGCCCTAAGACCCCGGGTTACACAACTTTTTGAAATTTTTAAACTATAATTTTACAACTGATTATTAAACCAGTCCGCAAAGGATTCTTTTCTAAGCATCATGCTTATGTTTTAAAATCAAAACCAACTTGATTAATATCAATGACACTGATAGATGGGATTGATGGACTTTTGCGAGAAGTGCCGACTTTTATAATCGACGGCTTACTACGGTATTACGAATGTACGGAAACTCTTCCATGGTGCATGTGTCTTAATATTCAGCTTATAATTTAATAAAACGGTAATAATGAGCCATTTCAAAGTCCAAATTACGTTTTCTAGAAATTGAACAGCAACAATTCTATCATCAACCCCCCCCCCCCTTTCACACTTAGACCACCTATAGCTAATACCAAGTTTTCTCTCAGGTACCGAGCATAAATCATATCATAAAAATCAAATGCATTTTCAATACAAAATAACCTTTTTTATGTCCTGAAATTAGTAAAGAGCATTTACTCTAACTACATATACATACAGCATTGTACATTTATCGCGAAAAATGTATATATTAAAACTTTAAAGCGCTTTGAAATAGCGAAAGATATTTTAAAAAAATCAATATAAAACCTTGGATTGTTGCAGAATCTCCTCCTGTAGGTGAGCCCTGTCCCACAAGTCCTGGAGCAGGGCCGCCAATCTGCCCACGGTCCCCATCCCCCGGGCCTTACCAAGCCTGGTTTCATTTTGAGCTCTTCAAAAGTCCGACATTGTCGTTTCATGCATATCTGTTGAACATTTGACCGATTTACCGCTTTAGAATAGCTATAAATATTTGAGCTTAAAGAGAAAAAAATGGAGGTTTTTTCTCCCATTGTTAAGTTTTTAGGACTTACTTTGCCTGTGCCACAATATATTCCGATAAGAGTACCCGTTTTTGTCGTGAATAATTGTCCAAATAAATTCCCTTCGTTGAGATCCACACAGCTATGATAATACTCGCAATCCTAAAAGATATCAAAACGCATGCACTACTTGATATGTTTACAGAACATCCCATAATTCTAAATTTGCCATAGTGAAAAAAAATGGTATTCTTACCCCAAGTACAGAAAAATTACGGAAGTGGAAATTAGGGCCGTACCGCAGCTCACACAATTCATCCTTACTGTACATCTGACCTAGAAAATTGCCAAAAGTCAGTTCAAGTTACATAATGAGTCAAAATCATGAGTTTCTTTTAAGATATCTGTATTATACATAGAAAGATTTATGAAAAAAATTATGATTATAGTGAAGATTTGAGAACTTAACCTGCACTAGTGTAAAGCAAGAAAAGACTGCACAATAGAAGTGTCGGAAAAACAAACAAGGTTGTATCTGTCAAGTTTTACATTTCGATGTGGAAATCAAATGATAAAATTTTGTTTCTCAATTATAATATGCAATATACTATCACTCGTTATGTATTAAAATCCAGTGTATTTGTTAACTTTGCTTGGAAGTGTGAAAAAAATTCCCATATAATCCTAAAGTAACCATATCTGTATTTTGAGATGGTCCCAAAAATATACAGGTGATAGATTTTCCCTAAACTTTGCGTGTACGTGTACACTGAAGTTAATGTAAAATATATGTGACATAAATTGAAAGAGTTATTTTTATATTGTTGTGTTCACATAATGAAGCACCAGCTGTCTTCCTAAAATAACGATTTAAAGGTAATTGAAATTCTGGAATTGTTAACTGGATTTTTAGCTCACCTCAACGAAGTTGGGGGAGCTTATGTAATACCCTAGGTGTCAACGTCCTAGGTTAAGGTTAAGTTTTTTGGAGCAGTTTTCTTTTTAAGTACTTCTATGTCCTATATTGATTAGACATGCATGGAAGATGGTTCTAGTGCGTTTCATTGTACCAGTCAAAGTTTCAGATGCTTCAATGTCAGCAAAGGAATGACCAGGTTAAAGCTGACATGAATTCTTAAAAACGCAACATTTTCATCTATGTACGACTTGTTTCATACCAACTATAGCCGTACTCCGCCATATTTCTTTCAGATACATTGTCTCATTGTAACGATATATACCCCAATGCGGTCGTTACACTTGAATGATTTTTTGGCTTGAGTATCGACTTGTGCACATCTCCGATGGTAAAGCATATGAGAACACATGAGGTGATCAAGACATTTGAAAACCACAACAAACAACATAATAATCATATTTCTGAATAATTATTGATTTGAATCAAAAGGAAAAAAATGCAAGTTTGGAAGAGAAATTTAGATGCATGAGTACGTATTTTACAATGCGCCAATTTATGCAGAATAAACTTGAAATAAAAAGCAGTAAAATCTGCAAACACATTTTGAAATTATATCATTTGAATGGAACAAAACAACCTACGTCTTTGATTTGCAGGTCCTAAAGATGCAATTGATGCATATCGAGAAAACGCCTCGAACGCTGTAAACGTACCCATACCTGGACAGCTGGAAATAAGGTTACTGTATCGGTTCGAAGATGTGCACAAGTCAAGTGATATACACCCTGAATCCCATTTATTGAAATATGCATCACAGAAAAGAAATAAACTCCATAAATGCTCAACAGTAAACACACTGTCATTACTCCGTACAGACTAACACGTCGATACACTTAGTCCGTGCTGATCACATTTTGGTCAGGGAAAATATCACAAGTGGAAAGAGAAGTTATTTGGTATTTGCGCGGCTGAAAAGAGGGGGTTTAAATTATTATAACAGCTGTTCATAAGCTATATGGTCTATCTACATGTAGTTCTAATATACATTCTATACAAAGTCATGTATATAGTCTGCAGTTGGTTTGCGTCGCAAAATTCATTTGTCAATATTAACTGATTATTTTAGTACTAATCTCAAATCTAAACCAAGTAATCTGAGATACGGTAATTATTTACTTCAAATCTTAAAGCAATTAACCAGAATACAAATTTTTATGTGTACATCTATACGTTCTTTAACACACACACACACACACACACACACACGGAGAAAGGCCATCCCCTGTTCAGATTGACATTTAGGCATTTGATTTTTTTTTTAGGCGCGGGGGGGGGGGGGGGGGCATGCAAAAATAATTGACGTGGCCGTTATTTGAATATTCTTGGAAGACAGACATTTATGTCGAACTCAATTTTGAGATTTTTTTAAAATGTGTCACTCCGACCACAAAGTATGTGCATTTTGAGGAATGTAACTGTTTTATGTTGTTACAGAGAGTCTTTCGAGATTTCAGTATCCCTGCCTGATAGTCTAGCTATTTTTTTGTATAAAAATAATTTCTCTAGGAGTATTTGAGAGATAATTTTAAGAGCTAGGGTAGTGATACTTGACACTGGTTGTATACGGATAATTTTTATTAACTCTTTTGTATATTGAACTCTCTCTCTCTCTCTCTCCCATCCGTTAGGGCAATAATAGGTATAAGATCTTACGCACTTTGTGCTGTACCATTTATTAAGCCTTAGAACTGATCAAGGATTTTTCTCAGGCGGGATGTCGAAACTTCATAAATTGAATAATAATTTTAATTTGGACAAGAAATTAACCCAAACGCCCAAATTGAAAGAGAAACTAGAGGTATTGTGAGCAATGAGCTCACTAAATGATACCCCGCCTCCCATATATATGGTTATAATGGCAAAGTCCATATTTTGCTGTTGTCGCTAAACCCAAAATATGTGTCGAATCAAAAAGCAGGCACGTAGCATCGTATTTGAAAGTGGTGGCCAGTCCGAGAATTTTTTTTAATTACCTTAAAAAGTTGACAAGCAAAAAAAAAAAAAACAAACAAACAAAAAACACACCTTCAATTAACATTTCTTATAGTATAAGTCAGGTCGCGGAAAAAAGGGGGGCCGGCAGCCCTCCCCCCTGCCCCCCCCCCCCCCCTCGGATACGAGATTGGTACCCAAAGAGTAAGAGACAGACGCACGGACAGACGGACGGACATAACGATTACTATATACCCTCCCACTTTTCAAGCGGGGGATAAAATAAACGTGAAATATACATCACATGAATGGGAACTCTCTCAAAAACCTTCTCAAACGTACGTGTCGAACCTGGACCTGGACAACAGACAAGAGAATTTTTAAAAAGCTAATTGTAGGTAGAATGTGGAATTCTCACGTGGAGTTTGCTCTCTCTTCCTATATGCTTTTTCTAATAATCATTAATTATTTATATCTAGAAATTTAATTCACATTAAATTCTATTTTCATTATCATTTGCACCACAGAATCAAACTCGTTTATCATACCCCTCGCAATAAGTTGCGTGAGGTATAATGTTTTTGATCCGTCAGTCTTTTCTTTTCTTTTTTTTTTTTTTTTTTTTTGGTTAGCGCAACTTCTCATAAACCACTGCACAGAGTTTTGTCGAACTTTGCAGATATTTATAGGAGACAAAGTGTGTGTAGATTTGCACATCACCAGAAAATTGCGAATTCTTTATTTTTTCGGGAATTTCCGCACTTTCACATTTAGATTTTGGCCATATCTTGAATATAGAGATGAACAGTTTGTCAGTGCAATTCCTCATAAACCGCTGCACACAATTTCGTCAAACTTTGCAGATATTTAGGACACAATATGTATAGATGAGCATATTACATGGAAATTACGATTCCTTTATTTCTTTCTGGGAATTTCAGCACTTCGACTTTTGGGGGAGCGTGGGGTATGTGAACTTGCTCACTTTTTTTCTTTCATTGTGCATAAAGTTATAAATATCTTTAAATCAAATAATAAAAATTTAAAGCCTATACACAGTATTTATTTGATAATAATGAATCTGTTTCAGACATTTTTCTTAAATCATTTTTATGAGAGTGTTAATATGCATGTTTTACCCCCCCCCCCCCTCCCTCCTCCTATCACAGGAAAATGTCTTCAAAAGGTGAATGATTCGTAATAATGCATGCTTTATTATAAATTTAATGAAGTTAAACCAAGTCATCATAAATTTTATTTACTACATTTACAAACAAGTGTAATGTTTATTTTTGAAAAAAAATTTCAATCAACCACACTGAACTTTCAACCTTTCAAGCTTTGATATTTTCCCTGACCAAATAAAATGATCGGCATGGGCCACGTGTGTCCAAGCATCTTTTACTATTGAGTTAGCAATGGATTACATGACTTCTGAGATGTATTTTTCAATAAAAGTAAAATAGGATAATTCTTTCGACATGTGCACATCCCTGTAACGATAGCAGTATTCAGGTAAATGTTTTATCACTGCGTTTGACGCGTTTTCTTGACCTGCATGGATTTTCGCTGTACATAAATGTATTCCGTGTTAGTGTACTTTTTATATTGCAGCAAATGCATTCAAAAATAATTTAATTTTCGGTATAGTTCTATTTTTTGTTGAATTTTTACTTTTCAAACATGTATTGGTCAGTTTATGGACTTCTAAAAAGTATGCTATCGGAGATGTGTACATGTCGACAGCCAGACTAGAAAATCACCCAAGTGAAACGATTCTACAGGGCTATATATAGCAGGTACAGGTGGCCAAAAATCTTCGATTAAATATGGCGGAATCAAAGAAATATGTCGGACAAGGGCGTACAGGAATGTAGTAAGTCGTACAAAGATGAAAACTGATGCCTTTTTAAGAGTTCATGTCAGCTTTAATGTTTTTAGAGCAGGTTAACATTTTTGGTGCAGTTTTTGGTGTAGGTTTTATTTCCAAGTAACTATAAGCTCTATGTTGACCAAACTTGCATGGATGATACATAAAAGGATGCATACTACGGTGCTTGCTTCGGATGCTGAATTTGACCTACATTTTCCGGTTGAGTGAACAGGTAAAAGTTTTTGGTGCAGGTTTCATTTCCAAATAACTAGAAGCCTTATGTTGACCAAACTTGCATGGATGATACATATAACGATGCATACTACCAGGCTTGCTTCGGATGCTGAATATGACCAACATTTTCCGGCTCAGGTGAATAGGTTAAATTTTTTGGTGCATAATTCATTTCAAAGTAGTAACTATGAGTTCTTTAATGACCAAACTTGCATGGATGATACATATAAGGATGCATACTACGGGGCTTGCTTCGGATGCTGAGTCTGACTTACTTTTTGTTGATGAGTGAAAATGTTAGTTTTTGATGCATGTTTCATTTTAATTAACTATGAGCCCTATAATGAGCAAACTTGCATGGATGATACATCTTAGGATGCACACTAATGGACTTGCTTCAGATTCTGAATTCGACATACATTTTTCAGATAATAGACCAGGTAAAAGTTATGAGTGCAGGTCTATTACCAAAAAACTAAAAGGCTTATATAACATTGTATAAACCAAAGTTGCACAAATGTTGCATCAAGAGATGAAAACTCTCAAATTTGCTTCAGATGCTGGATTTTAATTACATTTTCATGAAGAAGAACTAGTTTAAATTTTTTATGTAGGTATATTTCAAAGTATCAGATCGAAATTGCTTAAATATTTTCATTTTTGGAATGTACACTTTTTGTTGGTTAATAGTGTGACTTTGCCTTACTTAAAGTTGAGGTGAGCTCTGTAATCTCTGATTACCTATGTTTAATTTTGTGTCAAGACAAGCACGCAAATTGAATCCATTTGTAAAATATTCAAAGACACAAAAAGTATGGGACACATACTCAACTTATTTAATATGATGTTCTTTTTCAACAGCATTCCTATATTAAATTTTGATTCCCCATTGTAGCCCACCCTGCCCCGATGGCCATTTTCTGAATCTATACTAAATCTGAAGATGCTTTCACGCTGTTCTTTAGAAGAATTTTTAAAAAAGTTTATATTCCTTGAACAAACCTGCAGCTACACAGTGTAAAGGTTTCAGATACCGGTAGGTTAAAACATTTTTTTGGCCAAATGATTCTTAAGAAAAAGATTTTTGAAACTTGTATCACTCTCATTCTTGAAAGGATCCTTTGGGGGAAGTTTGGCTGAAATTGACTCATCATTTCTGGAGAAGAAGTTGAAAATTAAAAAGCTTTCAGATAGACAACTAGGCAGACAAACGGCAGACAAAATCTGATAAGAAACACTCACTTGAGCTTTCAGCTCAGGTGAGCTTAAAGCCTAACTGTTGTACTAGTATTACCCGGGAGACCTGGAGTGAGGGGACCGTAGGAGGTGTCAGTAGAAACATCTTCTCGAAACAGGCATTCAGCGTCTTTACTTCTAAAATCAAGAATAGTTTTGATTCAGTTTTTTTCTAATTCAAGAAAATTCAAGAATAACCTGTTAATGAACAAAATTATTTAATATTAATATTTAATACTTATAAACGTACTGTAAAAATTTATCAAAGTCTCTGATACTACAGGAACTCCAGCCTGTCCCTTGTCCTCCCATCACGCCCCTGTCACTTCCGGTACATCCTACTTCACCGTCGTGATACATTCCCATACTTAAACATGTTCAAGAAAAACAATAATATATTTTTAAAACAAAAAGCAATATATATATATATATATATATATATATATATATATATATATATATATATATATATATATATATATATATATATATATACTGAAAGGAAAAAGAAACGCAGGGTAGCATTATGTTCGAAAAAAAATTAACCACATGACCGAAAATTACGAAAATTTGTCAGAAGAGAAATTTAGTTATTGTACACCAAAATCAGTATTCAGAATTACTCAACCGTAAAATTTATGACGTCACGTAGGGAAAACGCTAAAAAGCCCAAAACACGTGCAATTTGATAACGACGAGTTTGTCAACAAATCTTGTTACATTCATTGATGCATATAAGGCATGCACATCGTTTTTCAATATTAAGAGACATTATGAATTTCTTGCAATCTTGGCACAGTTTACGGAAGTTCAATGGGGTCTTGTTTTCGAATTGCCTAATGAATGAAAAAGGCAACAACGGTTTACTAACCAGTTTCTTGTAAATTATCCCCCATAAAATTTGTTACCCGTTGTCAGAGAGGGTCTGGAATGGTTTTCAATCAACCGTGACGATGACGTTAACGCGAAACAGAGCCATGTTACGATTGGTTTATTCGTCCTGCCATCTCTTAAATCGCCACCTTACTACCACAAAACAGCCATTTATAAAGTAGATGATTATAATCATTAAATTCATAAGACATTTGAAAGAAAACAATTCTGCTATTTGGTTTTTTGAGCCAGTTCAACTTACTGTTGTATTCCTCTCACTGGCGCATGCGCACGCCGTTTGACTAATTTTTTTGCGTGGTTACACATGCCCAGTATATATATATATATATATATATATATATATATATATATATATATATATATATATATATATATATATATATATATATATATATATTCTGTTATGGGTCAGAATAACCCTAAATGCCAGCAAAGATCAATCACACAGTTTAAACTTAACAATAATTTATTTACAGTAATATACAAATCATTAAGTACAAACTTAGCAAAAATCTAAAAATACATACATCAGAGTGTCCGTTACTGCACACAATGTCCCAGTGAAATTATATCCCAGTAATACCTCAATGATGCTTATACGACAATTCTATCCTCTGCATCGAATTGACAGGGTATTTATACAGTAATATAAATCTAGAATATTCTAGAAATTATAAATACATGATATTACTGGAAAGTTCTGGACATGCACAAAGTTCAAGAATGTTCTAGAAAAATGACCGAACATGTTGACCACTCTGGAATGTTCAAGAAACTTAATGTTACTAATAATATACATGATGAAATAATACAAATACAACACACCTCACAACACCTCCCCCCTTAAAAAGTTTGAATGTCAATGAAAACTTATATTGTTAAAATGAAATATATGTACATTAATACAAAATCATATATGTTCACGATACTCTGGACAAGGCATCTGCAATAACATTGTCTTTGCCTTTGATATGCTTAATTGTTATGTTGTATTCTTGTAACAACAAACTCCATCTAGTCAGTCTTTGATTTTTGTTTGACAATTTATGCAAAAATGTCAGGGGGTTGTGATCAGTATACACAAGAATTGGATGCAATGTAACATTCAGATAAACATCAAAATGCTGTAAGGCTAACAACAAAGCAAGGCATTCCTTTTCAATGGTGGAATACTTTTGTTGACATTTTGTAAGTTTCTTTGAAAAATAAGAAACAACTCTATCTACATTATCACTATGTTCTTGAAACAAAGCTGCCCCGATTCCAACATCACTAGCATCAACAGTAAGCTTAAATTGCTTAGAAAAATCTGGAGTTGACAGAACTGGGTTGCTCATAAGGACAGATTTGATTTTATGAAAGGATTTTTCACAGTCCTTTGTCCATTCAAACTTAACCCTCTTCTGCAAAAGATTTGTAAGTGGACTAACTACTGAGGAAAAATTTGGACAAAATTTTCTGTAAAACCCAGCCATGCCCAAAAACCTCATTAACTCTTTCTTGTTTGTAGGAATCGGGAACTTTGCAATAGCTTCCACTTTAGCCATAATGGGTGTAACATAACCTTGACCTACTTTATGACCTAAATACTCTACATAGGCATGACAAAATTCGCTCTTCTCAAGGTTCACAGTTAAGTTTGCTTTAGCTAAAATGTCAAATAAAGCACGCATGATTCGGAGATGTTCGTCCCATGTGTCGCTGTATATGACGACATCATCAATGTAGGCCTCGCATCCCTCAAGGTCTTGAAGAAGGGAGTGAATCATCCTTTGGAATGTAGCCGGTGCGTTTTTCATGCCAAAAGGCATTACTTTATACTGATAAAGTCCATCTGGTGTAGCAAAAGCAGATATTTCTTTTGCTCTTTCTGTTAACGGCACTTGCCAGTAGCCTTTCAACAGGTCAAATTTACTGACAAATTTGGCGTTTCCAATGCTGTCAATACAGTCATCAATTCTAGGTATTGGATATGAATCAGTTTTGGTAACAGAGTTCACCTTTCTAAAGTCTGTACATAATCGGTAGGTACCGTCCTGCTTTGGTACAAGAATACATGGTGAGCTCCAATTACTTTTACTAGGTTCAACAATGTCATTGTCCAACATGTACTGCACTTCCCTTCTTAGGTACTGCAATTTTATTGGATTCAGACGGTACGGATGTTGTTTGATAGGCAGAGCGTCGCCAACTATAACATCATGACAAGCTGCATTAGTTTTCTTTGGAACATCCGAGAAGATTTGATGATACTCATTCATCAAGTTTTTAACTTGTTCTTTTTGGTGAATGTTCAAATGTCCAAGTTTGGCATCAAAATTAGCCAAAATTTCTGAGTTTTTCAAGCGGACACTCTGATTACAATCTTTCTCATTCATTTCTACACTCGTATCACTTTCAATACAATTTTGAACAGTCTTAGCATTGGCTAAAGTGGAAACTGGTTTTACAGAATTTCGGTCACACCTTTCAAAATACTCTTTTAAAATGTTAATGTGACAAACCCGTTTCTCTTTACGTCGACCTGGTGTCTTAACTACATAGTTTACATCACTGATCTTGCTTTCAATTTCATAAGGGCCATAAAATCTGGCCTGTAAAGGATGACCAGGAATAGGTAAAAATACAAGAACCTTATCACCTGGCTTAAACACCCTATTTCTGGCATCTTTGTCATACCACATTTTCATTTTCATCTGAGAACTCTTCAAATTTTCTTGTGCTAATTTACAAGCACTGTAAAGTTTTTCTTTGAAATCAGACACATAATCTAAAAGATTAAGATCACTAGTCTCAGTCAGCCACTTTTCCTTCAACAATTTCAAAGGACCTCTAACTGTATGACCGAACACCAATTCAAAAGGACTGAACCCAAGAGACTCCTGGACTGCTTCTCGTGCAGCAAATAGTACAAGATGAACCCCTTCATCCCAGTCTTTCTCATACTGGTAACAATAGGTCTTCAGCATTGTTTTTAGGGTTTGATGAAAACGTTCTAGCGCTCCCTGGGACTCAGGATGATAAGCAGTTGATCGATACTGCCTAATACCCAACTCATGCATGACTTGCTGGAACAACCCCGACATAAAATTTGAACCTTGATCCGACTGAATTGCCTTGGGTGCTCCTACAAAACTGAAAAACTTGGTTAGGGCCTTAACTATGCTCTTTGCCTTTATATTCCTAAGAGGTATGGCTTCAGGAAACCGAGTGGATGTACACATAATGGTAAGTAAATACTGGTTTCCAGATCTAGTCCTAAGCAAAGGTCCTACACAATCCACCAACACTCGACTAAACGGTTCTTCAAAAGCTGGAATGGGTTGGAGAGGAGCAGATGGTATCTTCTGATTTGGTTTACCTACCATCTGACAGACATGGCATGACTTGCAAAACTTCGAAACATCCTTTCTTAGCTTAGGCCAATAAAAATGACTCAAAATCCTATTATAAGTCTTATTGATACCTAAATGACCAGCCATAGGTGTATCGTGAGCTAAACTCATGACATCTCGACGATAAGCAGCTGGGACCACTATCTGGTGAACAACACGCCACACTTCATCTGGGGAAGCGTCAGGTGGTCGCCATTTTCGCATAAGGATGCCATCTTTCATATAGAAGCATTCTCCAACTTTAGTAGCCTCTTCTGGTGGAAGTGCCCTCTTACTAAATTGAATGATATCTGGGTCTTTATGTTGTTCAGAGAGTAAACGTTCTCGGCTGAGGATGTCCTTGCCTTGGCTAACTAGTGGATGCAACTCATCATCCTCACCACCAAATTTTGGTAAAAGTTCTTTCTTCTCTTGCTTCTTGATATTGTGTGGTTCCATGCTTGTTTGAGTGCCATCAAGGTCAGATAAGAAAGTGTCATTCAAATCAATATCAACAGAGGAATCTGTCTCGTCAAAGGCTTGATTATGGTCTGCCTCCATCTCTCGTCTTCTGGCCATCGCTCTAGTAACAGCACAGGCTGGATAAATGTCATCATCTTCATCATCGCACATGACATTGGAAGTGATTTTCTCACAAACTATAGGATCTGGTACAACTTTTCCACCAGCTAAATCGTTGCCTAGCAACAAAGAAATGCCTGGAACGGGAAGAGTAGGTCGAACACCTACGATAACAGGTCCAGTAACTAAATCTGACTTCAAACTAATTCTATGCAGGGGAACATCAATGACGCCTAGCTCCACACCCTGTAATAAAACTGACCCACCAGTAGAAGTCTGCTCAGACAAAGGAAGCACGCCCTCTAACAATAACGTCTGTGCAGCACCAGTATCTCTCAAAATCTGGACAGGTTTTATTTCGCTAGAGTCACCGAGAGAAACAAATCCCTGAGACATAAAGGGCTTATAATCCTCCATAGAATCAATAGAACTGGACTGTGAACCCTGGACATCAGGAGTGTCAGAACAAATGGAAACTAAGGCTTCTCTATCACCTCTAACTGCCGCACAAGCATGTGGTTGAGTTTTATCAAAATCATTTTTTCTCTTAAGTTTAAAGCATTCACTGATCAGATGACCTTTTTTCTTACAATAACTACAAGTAGGAAGGGATCCTATTCCAGACGATCCTTCAACACGTCCTGGACCGGACTTAAAACCACCTTGGGATGGAGACTGGGAACTTGTGAAAGACTGAGACCCTGAACCACTCTTTTTATATGTGTCTGAATTGGTAGAATTACTGCTAGTCTGAGATCTTGATACAAAATTCTTTTTATGAGACAGAGCATAAGTATCAGATATGACTGCTGCCTCTTCAAGAGTTTTCACATTCTTATCTTCTAAATGTGTTTTCAAATCTTGAGAAACACATTCCTTAAACTCTTCTACCAGGATGACTTGGCGCAAATTAGCAAAAGTTTTATCAAGTTTCTTAGATCTAAACCAGTGATCGAATAAATCTTCTTTCTCTCGTGAAAATTCAACAAATGTTTGGTTATCAAACTTCCTATACTTTCTGAATTTTTGTCTATATGCTTCAGGTACTAATTCATATGCTTTTAATATTGCTGCTTTGACCTTCTCATAGTCTAAACTTTCAGCTACCCCTAGTGCAGAGTATACCTCAGCTGCTTTGCCAACCAGTACACTTTGTAACATTGTTGACCAAACATTTCGTGGCCATTTAAGATTCTCTGCGACTTTTTCGAATTGGGGAAAATATTTGTCTACAGATTTTTCTTGAAATTTTGGAACTAATCTGATATTTTTTGCTGCGTCAAATTCAGTTTTGACAACTGACGGTCCTGGTTGGTTCTGTAATTTTAATTTCTCTAATTCAAAGTTCATTTCACGCTCTCTTTCTCGCTCTTGTCTTTCTCTTTCTCGCTCTTCTCTTTCTCTTTCTAATTTGTCTAATTCAAATTTCCGTTCACGCTCTCGTTCTTCAAATCTCATTTTTTCCAACTCTACTTGATACTGAAATTCTGACATATTATAAGATTCTGATTTAAGTGTATAATCTGGAAGATCATATTTTCCAAAGATGTTTTCTTCAACTAGTTTGTTTGCAACCTTTATTCTAATATCTTGCTTTCTCTGTGAAGATTTAACCTCTAACCCAAGATGCAAACCTAACGCGATCAAGTCATCCTTTTTTAACGTATCAAAAACCTGAACACTTGGTGAACTAAGAAAGTCTGTGACCGAAAATACCATGTTGATTTTTGCTGGCTTATAGTCAAATTTAACGGTTCAATAAACAAAATTTTGACAATAAACTGCAAAAGTGCAAGAAATTCTTTATCCCGGACGAGCCCCCAATTCTGTTATGGGTCAGAATAACCCTAAATGCCAGCAAAGATCAATCACACAGTTTAAACTTAACAATAATTTATTTACAGTAATATACAAATCATTAAGTACAAACTTAGCAAAAATCTAAAAATACATACATCAGAGTGTCCGTTACTGCACACAATGTCCCAGTGAAATTATATCCCAGTAATACCTCAATGATGCTTATACGACAATTCTATCCTCTGCATCGAATTGACAGGGTATTTATACAGTAATATAAATCTAGAATATTCTAGAAATTATAAATACATGATATTACTGGAAAGTTCTGGACATGCACAAAGTTCAAGAATGTTCTAGAAAAATGACCGAACATGTTGACCACTCTGGAATGTTCAAGAAACTTAATGTTACTAATAATATACATGATGAAATAATACAAATACAACACACCTCACAACAATATATATATATATATATATATATATATATATATAACGAGGGATAATTTACAAGAAACTGGTTAGTAAACCGTTGTTGCCTTTTTCATTCATTAGGCAATTCGAAAACAAGACCCCATTGAACTTCCGTAAACTGTGCCAAGATTGCAAGAAATTCATAATGTCTCTTAATATTGAAAAACGATGTGCATGCCTTATATGCATCAATGAATGTAACAAGATTTGTTGACAAACTCGTCGTTATCAAATTGCACGTGTTTTGGGCTTTTTAGCGTTTTCCCTACGTGACGTCATAAATTTTACGGTTGAGTAATTCTGAATACTGATTTTGGTGTACAATAACTAAATTTCTCTTCTGACCAATTTTCGTAATTTTCGGTCATGTGGTTATTTTTTTTTCGAACATAATGTTACCCTGCGTTTCTTTTTCCTTTCAGTATACAAAAAAATTTACATCCCAAAAGAATTTTAATCATTAGTTCATTTTTTTATTATAATTTTGTTTTGGTCTTAACACCCTCTATGATATTGATTCATTCTATATTTTTAATGAAAAAGTGCAACTTTCTTATCATAATTTTAAGCAATGCAATGTCTTCGTTTCTTACCTATGTCCCAATTCGTGTGCTGTACCAGTGTGTGTTAGTATCGGACCTCTTTGGATAGCACAATGATAAGTTGGATTACAAGAAGAAGACTGATATGCCCGGCCATTAGAGTCTGCTTGATCCATCCTAAAAAAGGTAATTGAATTACTAGCTTACATGAAAAATGTAAATACATTGTTCGATGTAACAGAAATAAACAAATGGGAACACCTGGGTAGGATCAGGTGCCTAGGGAAATTAAGCCGCAAGCCCTTTGAAATGTAAAGATAAAGGAGTAATTTGTAGCCAAATTGTATTACCCCCTTGCAACGAAGTTGAAGAGGAAATAATCACGTAATCGTGTGTGTACGTTTTTGAGTGAACGAGTTGTACGAAACGGAAATGACGTAATTTGGAATTGATGTCAAATGCTTTTTAATTTTATAGATATGCTCTTTGCAAGGGTATGATCCGCTTTGTGATGACTTTGCTTTTATAACATAATTTTGATCAAAATTGTGGTATATATGATTCACGTCAAGTGAAAATAGTCGCCAGCGTCGCGCAGTGGTTAGAGCGTCTGCTCTAGAGTCGCAAAGTAAGGAGTTGATCCTTACGTCTTGGGTTAGAATCTCACTGTGGGACGTGGAGACCGGTCCTTAAGGACGAGACTGTATAATTCATGACATATAACACCAGTCTTAAATGTATCCTTGACAGCCATGCACCTATTCAGACAAAAGAAATAATCATACGACCAAAAACACCATGGTATAACGCCAACTTAAAAGCCGCCAAGCAGGCTCGTGGAAAAGCAGAGAGGAAAATGCGTGAAACAGACTTAATGATACACAGGCAAATCTACAGAGAATTGTGTACCGATTATTCAAAACTGCTGCTGCAATCGCAGCACGATTTCTACTCCACAAAAATATTAGAAATTGGACATGACATGACCTAAAACAACTACATAACCTAACTAACAATCTGATGGGGAAGGTTAAGGAGACTGCCTTTCCAGCACATGACAGCAAAGAGATGTTAGTAAATAGATTTGTGAGTTTTTTACCGGAAAAATTGAAACGATCAGATCTGAACTTAGTAAATCTAAGACCCAATTTTTTTACCGTACGGTTACCTGAGGAGGGGGAGTGGTCCAAGTAACAGTGATGTTATTTACCTGGAGACCCCCAATACCCAAGATGTCAAAAATCTATATACACATAGCATTACACAAGAAGTCTGTGTCTGGTGATCAGGTTCAACATTCCGTGTTTCGTGTCTAAATTTGAGTGAAACTACTTGAAACAATTAAAATATTACAATATAAAATTTATTTATAAATACTTTCAGCGATATCTAATAAAGAAAAAAATACAAAGAAATATCGTTTTTATATTTAAAAAATATGTAAAATTAAATTAAAGAAAAGAATAAAGATCAAAACTATAGATAAAACATGGGATAAAGGAATTTTTCATCCATGCCGTTTGTGCTAAATATATTTTCTTATTTATCATATTCCAATTTTAATCGGCGAATAGCGTTTCTGTGCACCGATCGATCTAAATTCTACAATAGATATCTTGGACGACATATCGCCTCAAATACAATATAGCCATTGAGATTGAAAGCAAATATTTTTTGATGTCATGTTTTAATTATTTACTCCCAATTGTTTTTGAAATAAAATTTTATCAAGATTCATTTTCTTAACCCCAGTGTATACAAGGCGGCTACATGAAAGTGTTTGACGCGTGACCACGCGATCGTTTTCAAAAGACACAAACTCAGACTATCAGGTAGCACGGGTAGCTGGCCTGTCAATCAAATCAGCAGCTATTGTTTTTTTAATGGTTGACAGGCGGTAAATTATTGATCTTGAATCAGGTAGATTTTGTGGGCGTTAACATAAAATTGGGTGTTTAATGTTAGTAAGGCACTAAAGAGCACTAAATATATTCAATATGTGAGTCAGAAACTTGTTGTTTTCACTGAAGCCACAAATATCTAAGATATCATCATCATTTTTAAGTTGATCTCATGTAGATCTTAGTCTAGCACCTTATAATTTTAGCTAACTCTTATGTTAGTAACGATCTCGTACTATAATTTTAGGTTTTATGTTTTTATGATTATTGTGTTGTTTTTAACTACTTGTATATCTGAAACACTGTCTGTTCAGCACCTTAGAGTGATTTATTTTAAATAGGGCGCTATACAAATGTTATTATTATTATTATAAAACGAGGTCCCGTGATGCAGTAGGTGCTGGCACGAAAAAGATACCTCCCTGCTCCATGGCACTGAGTGCCGAATATAGGACAAAATATACAGCTCTCCACCGGCAAGTGGCGGCGTCTCCATATGAGTGAAAAATTCTCGAGAGGGACGGTAAACAATGTACAATATCATACAATGATATGTTATATTTGCTAGGAAAGAGATATAAACAACCAAAAAGAAATCACAATGCTTAGTTTAAAAAACGATGTTAAAATCACTGTAGCATTATTTTACTATATCCTGCCTTGTTTAAAAAATCAATCACACTTAGAGAATACTCTGGCGTATCGAAGAATAAGGGATTTATAGGCGCCATCTTCCAGCCATATAACGAGGGTACAATATTACTAGGTTAAACAGGAAAATTAACAATGGAAAATCATTCTCCATTGTTGATTTTCCTTTTTAAAATTCTCAAAATTACTAGTTAATAATTTAAGATACCGTTAATTTCTATTCTTTACCAATATCCTATTAGGGTATATTGATTTAATTTGATAAACAAGCAGTCAGTTTGACATTAGTAAATTGTTTTCATTACAAATTACTTTTTGTGCACGTGAACAGAATATTGGTATCCTTATAAACATATAAGGAGATCGATCAATTCCGAATATGCTTGATAAACAAGCTTATGAACCATATGGATCTCAATTCTTTCCATTGTACTTGAATCCGTGATTATTTAAAATGTTTTCAAAATTGTTTCCATTTTTGTCTCCCTCATAAAAATAATATACTCCTCGATTGTTTGTTAAATACTTTTTAAACTGTACACAAGGACGCTCATATTTGCTTGAAATTTGCCCAGTGGTTTTGAGAAAAGGATGTGAAACTTTAGAGTTGTTTGGGGTTACAGATGGACGGACGAATTCATCGCCAGATAACATATCAAAAAAAGTTTAGTATCTTTTACAAACGCAATCTATCGTTACGTGAAATGCTGACTTTTCATATAAGTTGTGAGGGCAACGCCACGGGTACGTGGGCATCTTATACACGTCTTATTTTCTACAGGTCCGTGTTTGCTCTGCTCCTAATAAGTAAGTAATGTTTAATGGAATTTTAGGCTTGAATACATTTATCTCCATGTATTTCATATAATCCCTGATTTTTAGAGGCCCCTTTATGCTCTGCTCCCTAATTATACTGTTTCTTTGGACTATTTTTAGCTTGGTATCAGTTCTCTGTATTTCACTCAGGTGGGCTAAAATATATACGTACCCGCTATGCATAATGAAGATATCGTATTTAACTGGATTGTTGTGAATGCCTTCACAAAATGACTTCATAGTTTTTCCAAGGTGAAAATAGGTTGTGTAAAAGGACTGTCAATATAAAATCGTAATATATGCAATGTAATTCTCGCAAAATTTTAGGTACATCGTAATTATGCAAAATGAGAAATCTATTGCTGAAAATATTTGGTAAATGATATTCAAAAAATAATTACCGGATCTTTCTCCCAAAATTCCACATATTTAATCTGGATTTTAACATTGTAGCCGAGAACATCTGATCTAGAATATTCCATCTGTACCTGGATCAATTTAAGCAAAGTCATAGTAAAAAAAAAATCGGCATCATCAATAGTTATGAAATGTGTAGCCGGTAATTGAGATATCGCGTAATACATACTTTTAAACATTCATCGAGTTATAAATAAAGGCTGGTCACGTCATTTAATCTCAAAAATTTATTTTATAATTCTTTCATACATTTGTTACTGATTTATCTACAAATGTGTGTGGCTTGTTATGGTTTCATGATTTTTGAAACTATAACCGTATAAGTTGAATTTGTCAACGTCTCGACCATATACTAGTATGACTTCACTGTGAAATTACGGGTTTTTTTAAACAATGGATGTGTGGTTATGAGAACCAGGTTATAATATGCATTACCTTAAATATTCTTTAAACTGACGGTATTTGTAGATGTAAATATTACATACATCAAATATCCCATTTTCCTACTAAATCTTAAATATAATTATTCAACCATAGAGATAATCTATACCCCGTTATATTTAACGATGATAAGTTCCATTCTCCTTGCAGTGTCCTTAAATCGAAGTCGTTCTGTGTATTTGCTGTCAGTATACACTGCCAGTTCAACAAAGACATCCTTCGTAGTGGTCTGTCTTTTATATTTGTCCTTTAGTTTTCCTATCTGGTCATCTAGTACAGAGAGTCCGACATCATTACATTTCTTAAGGTTTTTCATTTGATTAATTACGAATTGTGAATGTAATTTAAAATCTATATATTTTATAGTTTGGCAGTAATAAATCAGAACATTTGTTGATAACAATAACGATAAAACAAATTGAATACGAAAGACATTGTGTCACCTTTGACTTTTACACCTGCCCCTCCCATGTTGTTCTGTGGTCTCATTTTACCAACCACAAGAACAGAGTCCTCATCCGAGAAATTGAGTCCTTTGTTGTGAACTTTGGGGAGTTCTCTCAGTTGGAAATCTCCAGATGGAGTGGTTAGTGATCCTTTCTTAACATGAAAAATGTTGCACAAAATCTTTTAAAATGTTCATTAAAATCGACCAAAACATGATCTCAAGCGTTTCCATGGGATAAAAAGCTGCACGCATGAAAACATTCTTGTAGAAAATGTTGGACTTTGGTTTTTGGCGCAGATTAAGAATTTGATGAAATTATATCACTTATTCATTGAATATACTGGATTTTTAAGAAACATTCCTAGATATTTCATACTGCGGATATAATATGACTTTATATGAAGAAATTTCAGCTATATCTTCTCTAAGATGCATAATAAGTAAATAATTTACCAAGCCTTCACAATGTGACAGGGAAGCAGTGCCGTTATGTGAAGTCACGTGACCGACCAAGAAACAATCCGGAATTATTCCTTTCCACTCTTGGTCGCCGTCGTCATTCCTGGTAACAATCTTGACTTCCGGGTGCAACACGGATTCCGGTTTAGATACTTGTAATTGATAATCCTCCCCAAATGCTGACAAGCTGAGTTCTGTTGGTGATAACTCTCTGGTACTTCGAATGTTAGATCTAAATAAAAAATAAGTCTCTTTCAGAGTTTAATTCTAATTATAAAATTATATAATAATATATAATATAATATATATAAAAATATTTTAAAACTATCAGTATAAATAATAAGACACTGACAGTGAGTTTTTCAATCCTAATACCACGGTCCGACTTTGTCAGAATCAGAATTAATCTGGTACCGCAGTTGAATGTAAACAAACAGGCCAGTCTGATTCCCTCTCCTGCTTTACCTCGTATGTGTAGAGAACTACGATAACACTGATTATAAAAATCCTTACGCTTATGAACTATATCTTTGACTTAGGACTGAAGTTTTCAAAGTCATTACTACTGATGTTTATTTATATAGATAAAACTTGGTTTTATATTTGTTGCTTTATTTAGCGTTTGTATTATCTCAAAAGCGGTTGAGAGTTAAAACTATATTTTTGCACGTAACTTTAAAATGGCGACTATGGGGTTGACTTCCTGCCTTGAACAGGATGACATAAGCCGGCAATTGCTCTTTGAGCAATAAGCCCGGCTAAAAAGGAAAACGCTGAATTTGATATTTCCGAAATTATAAAGCATTTTCTAAAAATTTCTTTTAAAATGTGGACTGCTCATAACATAATAACTGCTCATAACAAAGATGCAATAAAGTTAACCAGACAGGTAGGAAATTTAAAGGTCTTTGAACAAGATGCTTTTTTAATTGATTCTAATAGTTTTTTCAATTACTTATAAAAGTAAGCCCTTTGCATTTCTTTAATCTGCAAATGCAATTTTATGATTCAAACAATACAAATAAAATATGCAATATTTTAAAAAGTATAATGCAATATACGGAGAATTGATATTATCGTAAAGTACAATTTTAAAGATCTGTATGCTCCGGGTTTGCCTTGGAAAATTCACCCCAAGAACCAGGATGTTACATATTGACGAATAAACATAATAAAAGATTTTTTTTTTGCCTTACCTTCTTTTGTCATGGTTAATCTCCTTTAAACTAGAAATGTCAATCGCTTCCAATTCCTCTGAAATGACCAACAACACGCAATCAGGTAAAAATTTTAAATAAATAAGCAAACACAAAGTAAGTGTTAGTTTTTAATGGCAAATTTAAAACTGAGGCTTACCAATGTCTCTTTCAAACAAAGTCTTTAGGGTTGATTCTGGTATCTCATTATTTCCGTACAGCTGAAAAAGTGTTTAAAACGTTTTCATTTGTACGCATACATAATTTTCTTTTGAGCAATATATATATATATATATATATATATATATATATATATATATATATATATATATATATATATATATATATATATATATATATATATATATTGCATTTGTTTCAACAGGGACTTTCTAACATCTACGCGTAAAATTTTACCGTGTCGCATGTTTTTGCACGATGCACTAATATTTGCGGTATTCGCACCAAACATTTCCGAACACCTCTTTTAGATAATTAATTTGAAACAAAAATACCGTAATTTTAATTTTCCAGTATATTTATAAACATACAATAACATATGATCTGCAACCCCATCTAATATACAGATAACAAACATAGCTATAGTTAATTATAGATTACTATAGTTAACTATAGAAGAAATTTGATACCGTTTACTTTTGAACTTTTCGTGTTAAAAATCTCTTCAATTCTACATCAATAGACAAGTGTTAAAATTGAAAATGATATGTGAATAATAAATAATAAATATCTTGGATTACAATAATATAAGAAACTTAAAGGCAAAACGGGATCTGCAATTATCTGTTACCCGGGGGGAAAACGATCTACTACAGGTCTTGTAGAATAGGCTTTCCCCTTAAAATCCTCCCCCCGGAAAACTGGCTCTAGAGTAAGATTTCCCCCACGGGAAACTGGCTCTAGGGTAAGATTCACCCCCAAACGGTAATCTGTTTTAAGAGCATGATTCCACATACAAGACTCCCACAACAGTCCGTGGGAAATCCTACTCTGTGCAGTAGTTATAGAGTGCAATTTTCCCAAGAGCCAATTACCCCCCCCCCCCCAAATGAAATATAATTGCTGTATTTAGGTTTTCAAGGGGAGAGGGGTGCATTATTACAATTAAGTTTACCTTCTTTAAAGTGGTGATCGACCAGATTTATTGAACATATACGAGGGCTGTTCAATAAATAATGTCCTCGGTGCTCAGAAAGAAGGAAAAGACGCTTTTCAATGATTTAGTCTTTATGATTTTACTAATTAATCTCTTTTGAGTAAAATGCATGTCCGTAACATTTTTTATCCAATTTCTGATTGTTTATAAAACTCATTTTTGGGTATGACCCTTAGTATACTGGAAAATGGCAGATCCAGTGATTTCCTGGACTTGTTTCTTCCCTCTGAAAGGTGTTTTTATCAAGTTTGGAAATAGAAACAAGTGAAAAGGTCAAAGATCTGGCGAATATTGTTAATGTGAAAAAACATTAACTTTCTGTTTATCCCGAAAACCCCTTTACTCTTCAGGGCATGCGGGTTTGGACGCTGTCTTGAAGAAATTCAATGTAGTGGATTCTCGATTCTGGGTCGCTCCTCTATAATACCTCTCTATTTTTTAGCAAAAAAATTGCTATCTAGACTCCTCCAGAAATTAAACTGTCTCTCCGAATACGTTTTTGAACAACAATACCACAATTTTTTTAAAAAAAATTACATATAAATCTGTCTTTGTGTTCTTGCATACCTGTGCTGTTGTCAGACATTCGCCGTTTTTATCAAGTACATCTTATGGTAAATTTTGTTTTGAGGGTTTTAAGCAATAGATATGTTCCAATATCGTTTTGAAAATAAAACAAACGTTGATAACTACAATTACTGATATTATAAAATAATTGTTAAGAATTTCGTATAAGCTGTCGTTTTCACTCATTTTTCAAAATATAGGATGACTTTTGAGTACCAAGCTTTTTTACCGTCAAACTTTTCTTAAAAACAGTGTAATCTACTCCCGATATGATGTCTATCAAATTTGCTATGTGTCTTAAAGTCAGTCATACATCATCAAATATTATTTTTTGAAATTTGGTGACCAGTACATAAGTTGTTATAATTTTTGTTGGCAAGGAGGGTACCTATTTGTAATGCCCATTATATAATTTTTTAACATTGAAAACCACCTGATCTTTTGTCTATAAAACAGGCATTGGTTGCTGTAAATGTCACATATTTCAGTGAATATTTCTTTGGGATTTTTAACAAGTTTTACGGCAGCTATAATGAAGCTTTTATTTTCACTCTAGTTTACTGATTCTTTACCATTCATTTATAATGCAGTGTCTCGAAAAGCCCTTGTTTCCCAGCTTCTCACGATGAAACTATGTGATGAAAAATGGTCATGTAAACTGTTATAAATTTATGAAAGATTCAATAATGAGAGAAAGTCAAGTTTAATGACATATGATATCTGTAATATATGTCATATAGTTCAGGACATTATTTATTGAACAGCCCTCGTACGTATACGAAAAAAGAAAATGATATATATATATATATATATATATATATATATATATATATATATATATATATATATATATATATATATATATATATATATATATATATATATATCACTTTTCCCAGCAACTATTAAAACATTTTTTCAGATCAAGTAAATAAATTCGTCTGACCCAAAAATGGTTTTCTGCAGTTTTCTAAATTTTTGAAATTATTGAGCTGATTTTTGATACGGAGTGTATCTTGATGAGTTAAAGTTCAAGTTTACATTTTATTCCGCTTCAATAATTTTTTTACGGAATAGTGACCTTTCAAATATTTAATAAGGGTTTTCTGCAAAGTATTTTTTCTAAAAGAATGGAGATATAGAGCTAGTTTTATGCTGAAACAGCGAGTCTGAGGATATTTACATGTGCATTTCTTTAAAAAAACTTAAATATATATTTGGGTCGAGACTCCATGATTTGGAATTTATGCTTCGAAATTTCCTACCACACAAGTAGAAAAACACTCATTTACCATTTAAAAAAGCAGTTTGTCGTTAATATTTTTACACAAAAATATTGCGTCTGTGGTTTATATTGACTTTATCAGAAGAGGGAAATCCAACTCTGAGAAAAAAAAGAGGGGGAAATTTGACTCTGTTGTCTTAATTTCCGTCGAGAAAAATCTAACACTAGAGCACTATTTCAGGGGGGAAAGCTGGCTATAGGGGAAATCCTTCTGTACAACACCGGTAACAAATTTTTAATAGCAATGAGGAAATGAGATACTAATCCAATGGTTAATTATAAGTAAAAAATACGTTTTGCCACATTTTAAGGGACATGGACACAGTTTCAACTAATTTGATTTTTTAGCTGAAACTGTGTCCATGCCACTTTTTTAAAAGATTTTTTAATTATTTAATTATGTTTAAAGTTATGGTAAAATATTCAATTCAGCGAAATTTAAAAGGAACAAAATGTGATTAAATATCATAGATTTAATACAATTATTGTAGTTGTTTTATTTTCTTCATTTATATATCTCAAACAATTAAATTTAAAGATATCAAATATAACTATGCACTGTGACAACGCACTTTGAAAAAATTACACACTTTGAAAAAATTACGCACTTTGAAAAAGTTACGCACTTTGAAAAAATTACGCACTTTGAAAAAAATTTTCAAAGTGTGTTAAAATTGGGACAAAATCAACGCACTTTGAAAATGCACCAAATAAATTTTGATAACATGTACTTTCTAATAGAACGTTATGTTGCATACTATGAAAATTTAAAAAGCTATGAACGTTTTAGAATTCTTTCATTTTTTCTTTAAAAAATCTTTTATTGTTTTGATGTTTTTCGTTATTGTTTACAATTTGATAAAAATAAATGATACCTCTGCGCCTTGAGAGAATAATGCGGCAAAGATGAGGACTGCACATGAACCCAAGGAAAACAACATTTCGCTCTGCAAAGTAGTCTTCCAAAGTTTTGATGACTTGTAAGCCAAATGCTTTATATATATAATGCTTTCTTAGCCTTTGACCCTTTTACATTATAAATATTTATAAAAAATTATATATTTAAATCATTTTTCTCTATTACCTATATTCTGCACACTATTATATTATGCCTGTGGGCAATATTGCTCTTGTAACTATTTAAGTCTTTGTAGAAGTCCTTTATTGCAATATTTAAATTAGATTTTAAAAAGAAATTCAAATAATTTGAATTATCGGTGGTATAATCAGTAGGGAAATTTGAATTCAATCCATCAATAAAATTTCATGCAATATTTTTGTAGCATGAAAGTGGAGCCTCATCTGGTATATAAAATGTTGCAGGTAATTTTATTTTAATACTAGGTTTCTAGATACCACTTTGCTAAAACTTCATATCTTATAGAAAAAGGTCTAATTTCAACTTAACAGTGAGAATTACTTAGTAAATCAATCCCATGAATTAATGTTGTACGTTTCATGTTATAATAAATTCCATATGACAACATAGTAACAGACCTCATATAGACTTTCTTAGGAAGCCTTTAATACTGTGTAATAAGAGATTTCATTTTCAGATTGTTTGAGCTCATAAAGATTAAAATATGCGTAGATCAGTTCACAATATTTAAAGTTAAAGAAAAAAGTTATCTACAAGATAAAATAAGCGAATACATTATTCGGGTGTTTTATACCGCTGCTTGAAAAGCAGGGTGGGGTATATAATGATGAGGGTGTCCGTCCATCTATCAATTCGTTTGACCGTCCCTCTGTCTGTCCGTCCGTCCGTCTGTAACGTTTTGGGGTACCCATTATCTCTTATCTGCGATTCCTTATATACTACTCAATGAAATATAAGGTTCATAATACCTCTGCTCACTCATATAAAATGTGGCTTGAACCAAAATGATTTTCCATAATAAATGTGTTTTATAAGTAAAATACAATTATAGCTTAGCTTGCAAGACAAAATTGGACAAAAAGACACATCAACTTGGCAAATCTATAAAGGAATAATAGACATGTCATTAAGAGATATCTCGCTGATCAAAGTTTCAATGAACCTTAATGAGACTTTCACAAAATATGTGTTTCATAGTGTCATTTTGCACCTTCTTTTCTACCTTTTGATCCGACAAATATGTTGGTTTTCCTGCAGCAACACAGGGACACTAACATTCTTTCTATCATATTGAAGGATACCCATCTCTTATCCGCAACTCCTGCTGCACTCCTGAATAAAATTTAATGATAATATCAAAGCCTATTTATTACATAAATGCCATTGTACAACTACTATATTTTAATTTTTGATCTGACACTTATTTCGGGTCTCCCAGAGCCAAGTATGGACTTTGCCATTATTATCCTATGAGAGGCAGGGTATCATTTAGTGAGCTCAGTGTTCATGGTGCCTCTATTTTTTTTCAAAATTAGTCAGCAAATTTTATTTTTAAATCTTATTCTACATTGTCTTCACACATTTTCCTTCATAAAGAATGGCAGGTATTTTAAATTAAGAAAACCCCAGATTAACCCAGTACGTAAATTTTTATATGTGAAAATTTCTAAGCATCAAAATATATTTTCCCACAGTTTTGCAACCTTCCTTAATCAACCACTATACATTTTCATTCAATTCAGCTGTTAAAAGTTCTTTTTTAATATATTTTTTCTTGCGTGACCGTGTTTGAAAAAATATATATGTTTTTATTTTGTTTGAACTTAATTGAATATATTAGTATTTTTGACTGATTTTCATCTTTCTTAAACCAAAAATCATCAGCAGTTTCCAGGTCAACAAACTGATTCAACTTATTCTTTTACAATTGTAACATAATTAAAAGTTAATTTTTAATATCTATTCAACAGAAAAGAAAAATAAATACAAATGGAACATCTTGCAATGTTTTTAAAGCAGACAATAAATGTATATACATTATTATATTCATTTATTCAAATTATCCAATAATTTCTAATTTCAAAATGAATGAAGTAGTAGGCTTTTGGTTACTCTACAAATATACGGTGAAAACAAGAAAATATTTTATCATAAAATTTCCGTTTTAGCCGATATCTTGAGGCAGTCTATTCCTTGCGGTCTGAAAACCAGCAGTTCTGTAACTGAAAATGATTAGAAAAGGTACAGTCGTTTGGCCAGTACCAAATTTTGACCAGTTCCGAATAATTCTTAATTTAACATGTGTTTAAGATCTGATAGTTAATACATTCAAAGGTGTAAAAATAAATTGATACCTATGGTAAGAAGGCTTATTTATGAGTGTATGAATTATGTGAAGTTTTGATTTTTTTGCCGACAGTTCGGTTTCTTTATCGTACTTGAAAGAGTCGACATTCCTTTACAATGCAACAAATCTGATTCACCGCGACGCGTAAGTTTGCATAAAAACCTCTGCAGAGACTTCAATTTTTCGCATGAAATAACATTCCAGGTATCAAAAGTAAGTTCGATATGTACTCTAACAAATACTAAAAACTTGTCTAAAATAAATATTTAGAACACTGGAAAATATCGTAATACTTTCGTGTTGTCATTTTACCAGTTCCGAATACCAATTTTAATCACTATTAAAAGTTAATTCTTCGTTGTTTTCTTCATTTTAAACGTGACTTATTATACCCGCGCTAAAAAAGTCATCCGTCTGTACGTCCGTCTGATACTCTTTGGGGTACCCATTTCTTATCGACAACTCCTCTTCTACTACTAAATGAAAATTAATGAGGCTTCACAGAATTTAATGAGGCTTTCACAGAATTCTTTGTTAAATAGTGCCAAAGTACACCTTCTGTTTTAGTTTTTGATCTGGCACAAAATTTGGGATCCTTTAGCATTACATGGATACTGCCATTCTTTCTAATATTGAAGGGTGTATCCATCTCTAATCCACAATTCCTCCATTCCACTGAATAAGATATAACGATACTTTCATTGATTCTTTATTATATTGTACATGTGACCTCTTATCATATTTTTTTTATCTGACACATATTTCGGGTCTCCTGGTTACAGCAAAACATGGTCTTTGTCATAATAATCATATTTGAGGCGCGGGATATCATTAAAGTGAGCTCAGTGTTTAAAGTACCCCTACTTTCTTTTTAATCTTTGGAAATACAAATAACTTATTGGTAAATCATTAATTTAACTTTTCTTGGGCATGCCAATGGATAATGTGGGGGATGTATATTTTTTAATTTAGGTTTGAATTGAATGGGTACGGCTAGGGTATCCGAACTCGTCGGCTTATTCGCAACTGGTAAAATGGACACCTATGTTAACTTGCAAAATAAATTTTCAAGTTTGAATACCGGTGTCTTTCAAGTGTGCTAAAATTGACGTTAGTTGACGTTAACATTTATGGATTAGGAAATATTTGTTTTTAGTATTACAAAAATAAAATTTGTTCATTGTTATATTCTATATTTTTTCTCATATTAGATATAATGCACAGTTTCTTTTTTCCGCTATTATATATTAATTTAACATTTCAACAAAAAATCTGCCTTTGATACACCCAGTTTGGTCTTTTTGTATGACTTATTTAAGACACTTTTTAATTCTTTCTGCAATACATCTAGGTACAAACTTGTATACAGTATTCAGGAGATTGATAGGACGCCATTTTTTTTAATTGTTATTCAAAAGTTTTGGAAAACAAGTTAGTAGGCCTAGTTTGTTGGATTCAGAAAAACTTTGTCATTTATTGCACGTGTCATGAATGTGACGAACATAATAAATGAAGAATTCAAAAGTAAATCCACCTGGACCCGAGCTTTTATCATTCTTCATTTCAGTCACACAAAAATGTTATTTTGATATATTTTGATAAATGTCATAAAAGCGACAATTTTCAATGAACAGAAGTAAGACTGAACAACGATTGAAAAAAATGATTGAACATTAGAATTTTCTCCTTTAAAGTTTAGAAATGGGTTTTTCTGGTTCACTTTAAACTAATAATAATGTTATATTTTACAAGGGAAATTTTGGAAAGACAATTCTATATAATAAATAAATGGAGTAATTACCACTGCTCACTTATAAACATTGTAAAATATCCTTGTATAATGCATTAAATTTCTTTATGTTGGTCAAAATCTAACATTACTCTATTGTTGGTCAAATAAATTTGACTAACATATATGACACTAAATGACTTGTCTAAATATTTGCGCACAAGAATGACATGCATGTTTATAACGTGCAACAGGGGCAACTGATAAGACAAAAATAGTTCAAAGTGAATATATAGCAATGGCGGTCATTATTTTTGTGAAAGTTTTCCTTTCAACATTGTGTTGTGTGGTTTATGTCAAGGAGGCATATTGTGGAAACATTGAAAAGCGGTTTCTTATTAACAACGGGAGCTCTGTAAATTCTCATCTTCAAGATTTACAAAGCAAACTCTTGGACCTCACATACAAGTATATGGCTCAGGAATCCACCATCAATGAGCTGAAGTCAGAAGTTCTTTTAACAAAGACTGTCAATGCTAACCAATCAAGAGTCATACATGACCTAGAGGTCAAGGTAAAAGCTCAGGAAACCGTAATTCAAGATCTCACTACGAAATCTCAAACTCAATCATCGACTATAACAGATCTTACCCTTAAGTTGCTCCGAGAAAGCAATAAAAATGACGACAATGCATTACGTATTCAGTCGCTGTCATCTAAATACCAAACGCTGGCGACGACAAAATCAGGTAAATTCTTCATTTATCATTTTAAAATTCTTATGACTTAAACTGTCTATTTATAACCTAAAAAGTGAGCAAAAGATAGCATATATTCAGCATTATGTTTTTGGTTTAGGTGGCGCACTGTTTGTCCGATGGGGAAGAAAGACTTGTCCCGACAATACAACGGACCTTGTATACTCAGGTACATATGTAAAAAAAAAAACCCAATGTTTCATTTATGTTACAGTAGATATGTGTAATAAAAAATTCCATTTGTTTCATGAATTATAGGAAATATCAGAAATCCCTATTCTATGTAGGAAATATGCGATTTGCTGATTTCAGTTAGAAAATACATGTATGCAATACATGTATATACTCAACAACAAAAAAAGAAACGCATATTGTTTTACTCATCAAAGAAATTTTGAAAAAAAGTATTAGGAACAGCTATCTTTTATATCATTGGATACATTAGCTGCAGATCTGTAGCTCTCCGAAAAAAATATATATTGATAGACCGGAGAGCTACAGAGCCACCCATTGAAAAAACTGTATATTTATTGCGCACAAAAAAGTGCGCTCTGTTCTTGATTAATTCTTCCAAATTCTTACCTCAGTTGCAAAAAATGGAAGATTTCAATAACTTCCTCTGTCCTCTATCAAGTACTGTCGTATTTGACATCTGAACGAAGTATATTGGACCGAATTATCTTTGAAACCAAAATGGCAGTATAAATTAGCTAAATGTTCGATGATTGCAATATCAGGACCAGGAGGACCAGTAACGACAATTATGAGGATTTTTTTGTTGTGGAAAGAGTCAAAGAATATGTTAGGAACACACGGTTAGTAATATTTTGAGATAACAGTTTTAAAAACATTGAGAAATAAATCGAGAACCGAGCGCACTTTTTTGTGCGCAATAAATATACAGTTTTTTCAATGGGTGGCTCTGTAGCTCTCTGGTCTATCAATATATATTTTTTCGGAGAGCTACAGGTCTGCAGCTATGGATACATGTGACCTATTTTAAGTACAACATGGGCTTTTAAACCCGAATTATTTCCCTTGAATAAGCATGTTTATGAAAATAGTGTTTTATATGATTTCTTGTAAATCGGGGGTCTATATTCTTTATAATAATATTTGATTTTGCGAAGAAAATGTTAAAATAACACGGTTTCCTTTTCTTTTAGGGTATGCAGGTGGGTCTAAATATTCCAAGGTAGGCGGACCTGCTAATTTCCTTTGTCTTGTGCCAGATCCTTATTTAATTCCAGATGTAGGAAGCGGTCAGTATATCCATGGCGTGGAATATGATCACGGAATAAGCGGATCAAAAGTAGGACAAAATGTTCTTTGTTCAGTATGTAGAAGTAGAACCGAGGAGAGCACACTCATGCTTCCAGGAAAATCGTCTTGCTATCCCGGATGGAAAATGCAATACAGAGGCTTCTTAGCATCTGGAAATGAAGCATTTACATCTTCCGCAAATTACATCTGTTTGGATGAACATACAGATCAATGGCAAGCAGGAGATGAGGTGACGTTGGACGGAAAACTCCTGTACACCGTCAGAATTGCGTGCGGTTCTCTGGCTTGTCCGCCCTATCATAATGACAGAGACGCAACGTGTGTTGTTTGTACCAAATAACCTTCAAGATAATAAATAAAAAGAATACATCATTGTAAAGCACGAATATAATTCCTTTTCTATTGAGAACAGTTCTACATGTACTCTTATACTTCTTGATCATAAAGTTTGGTAAAAAATCAATCACTGTGAAAACAATGCAAAATGATTTTGGACTGAATCCTATATATCCCTGACTTACGAAAATGACCCTATCCCTAAATGAGACATGAACAACAAAAGGTACAAGAGTTCTAAGCTTGGTGTCCTGAACAACGGGTTGTTACCAGGCACGAATCCAGGTCAATGAAGTAAGAAAAAAAATCTTAAAAAGAATTTTTGAGTAAGCTAAAAAAAATAGGCATTGTACCGCCTTCAGGCCTCAAGCAGGGTTCCATGGCCGAGTTAGTATTCCCTTATGACCGTTCACACCCGCCGTGGGCCCTAAATGTATATGCTTGTATGTTTATCAGGTAGTAGGAACCTTCCGTAGTTATTGAAACCAACTGTTTCAGACATTTCGACGATTTTAAAAAAGAAAATCATACCAGAAAATAAAAGAATCACAAGGCTTCATCACGATATTTGACCTTTGGTCTCTCAACATTACTTTGACCTTTAAAGCACATTTCTTTAACAAAGGTCAATTAATTTTGGCATTATATCATGCTTGTTTTTTCTGGTGTACTTTATACACGAAAAAGTTTAAACTTGTTTTATATATTTACCTCTCCCTCTCTCTTTCTTTCTCACAACAAACGGATCTGTTTCATATGAATACAATGTGGTTTTTCATGGAAATTAGTATGCATACTATACCATGCTATTTTCTCTGGATTCGGAAATCTACATTAAATATAAAAAATATTTCTGGATTATAATGTTTATGAACATAACTATAAAGCAATTCTTAAACATCATTTAAACTTGTCTCAAAAACTAATATTTACATTTGCAAATGTTTTCCTTTATATAAATTACTAAAGGCAAGCGTTTTTATAACTGTGTAAATACAGGTATGGGGTCAAGAGGTCATAGATGTGCGTTTGGATAAACGTTCAACGTAATTTCTCTGTGACGTCATAAAGGGTCGACACGCGTTTAGTGGATTACATACATGCCGTTGGGTTTGAAAAATTAAGGCATTTCACACGTTAACAGTAACAATCAGGCAAATATAAAGTATGAATAAGTCACAAATGTAAATATAAGTAATAAGGTATCATTTTTTGAGTTTTATTGAGATGTAAGACGGGTTGGCACATGATCAAATCTTCCATAAAGCCCTTCGGGCTTTATGGGATTTGATCACATGACCAACCCGTTTTACATCTCAATAAAACTCAAAAAATGATACCTTATTTCTTAAATGTAATAATTAAGCAATATTTGAGCTGCCATGCAAAACAACTGTAACAGTTAAGTTTCTGAATCTTTAACCAGCAATATCATCATTATTGAAGTAAATTATTGAGCACTTTATGCTTGGAAGTTTAAATAATAAGAATTTGTCAGTGAGAGAACACGCAAATTATTATTTTTCTTTAATTTTATCTTTACTTTGATGTTATTTTCATGGGGTCAATATTTCGAGGTTTGAAGATAAATATTGGTTTGATCGGATTTGATTTCGTGGTTGGGGAAAAATTGAGAAGTTATGTATATATAAATAAATTTTGTGGTGGACATAAGTTTGTTGGTCCCTTCATATCTTGAGTACAATGAAATAATACCATAACAAAAATAATTGCATTGTTAAAAAAAGGAATTGGATACTGCAATCTTTCCATGGTTGTTTCTTAGGACATTTTTTCAGATGTGTCATTTTTGATATATTATATAACAAATGATTCAATTTAACTTTCAATGAAGAAGCTTAAGGAGGAAACATATATATGTACATAATTAATAAATTTTAAAAGTGACTTTTGTGATACATATGAAGATAATGAACAATATTCAAGATCAAAAGTCCACAAACAATACAAAGTTGGTGAAAACCAAACACGGAACTCCAAAACATAAGAGGAGTGATCAGGTTCCATGGAGGAGTGAGCATTCCCTGGTGACCTTCATGAGCATTTTCAATTACATGTTCTTACTCCTGATTTTCAGAACCCGCGAAATGGACTACCCTAAGATGCGAACTTTAAATGTCATTTTATGACAAAATATGCTCTATATTTTAATCATCGTTTGCTTGTATAAAATGAGTCATATCCCTGCTGACATTTTATTCTTTAAATGAGAAATTATCAGCACATTTTCAATAAGGTTTTTAAAAATGTAAATATATTTATTGTCTGGTTAAAACACTGCTGCAATATGTTCTGTATTTACATTTTTCTCATGTATAGATTTAAACCTTATTTATTAACTTAATATTTTTATGTTAATAACCCTTAATTTAGATACAATTGAGAGAAAATGAGTCAATTCAATTTGGCGCCTGGAAACAGATGATGATTTCGGTTAAATATTGGTTAAAAATCAGTCAAAATTGCTATATTCCATTATATTCCATTAATATGAAAACATATGTTTCAAACATAATCACAAAAGAAAAAACAATTTTGAATAAAACAATAAAAAGGTTCGACAATTTTCTTTTAACAGAAGTAAGACTGCAAAATGATTGAAAAATCACTGAAAATTAAAAAAATTTCTTCCTATAAAAGTTTAGGATTGGGTTTATCTGTTTCGGTTTAAACTAAGAATAACTGTTATACTTTATATGGGAGAAATTAGAAAGGCAATTGTATATACTTGTAGAGTTATCACAAATGCTTTATTATAAACACTGTAAAAATACTATTGAATAATGTTTTGTTCTCCATTACCTAATCTTGGTCAAAACAAAAAATCAAGAATTCTTTTTATCTATAGCACACATGTATGATGTCAAGAACTGACTCCTGTGTCTAATTCTTCATCATTTTACATACTCAGAGCTCTGCCATACACTTAAACCTTCCATATGTGTGGAGCTTCTTCAAGGACGCTGGATAAAGGATAGACCTTTAAGATTATTACTTACTTTATTATGTCCGCTACCCCTTTAGGGGCAAAGACAAATGACAAGATTCCTCCAAGCAGTCAATCCTGAGCAATGCTTTCTATATCTTTCCAGTTCTTGTCTCTTGAATCTTTTACGCCTGGCTCCATTATGCCTTTCTGTCTGTTATTGGAAATATAATAATTTGATGTCATATAATTTATTAAATGTATCTTTTTATTTAACTATAATCAGACATTTTTAATATTATGATTATACGACTCAAAATATCTAGACACTATAACAGTAATTCATGAAATTACATGCAACGTTCTTGATATTAAAGTACCAAACACATTACGTTCATGCTACAAAGGGTTTGTTTGCACGGAATTTATATATTAATTAGCAGATCTGAATTCAAATGTTTCTACTGTAGATACCATTGCCTTTCTAAATTTTGATATTGAGGTACAAGGTCAAATAAAATGCTCCATTTTACGAGTTTCTCTAATAATTATTAAAACAATCTCATGAGCTACATTGCCCGTAGGCAGAACAAAAAATCCGCAGAATCAGCGAAAAATTGATAAAATATAATTTATAATAAATATTTATAACTTAAAGGTTAAAAGCGTGGAAAACATTACATATAAAAAGCGTTTGGCTAACAAGTAATTTAACAGAAGTTCGAAAGACTACTTTGGAACAACAACTGCAGCCAGATGTCGTTTTCCTTGGTAGTATTCCCATTTCTCATCTTTGCAACGTACTCTTACGGCGCTGAGGTAATTCTTTTAACTTATATAAGTTTTTTATCTTTGGTATATTGTTTTTATCAAACTGTAAGTGATCATGAAACTAATAATAAAAATCAATAAATGTTTAAATTTGTTTTGAAAAAAATGAAGAAAAACAGAGGTGTGTTAATCTTTTTGCATATTCCTAAATTGTGTGTTATAATAAGTTCTATGCATAGATTGGTGTTATACCTTTGAATTTGTGGTAAATGATATATTATCAAATCTTACAGTTTTTAAAAAAAAATTATATTTGAATTCATATGATGTTCATTTTTTTTTTCATTTCTCTTAAAATTCTAATATTTTTTTTTTTTATATAATTTTGTAGATCTTAATAGATAATAATAGAATTGATAAAAATAATGTAATTAAACGTATATATTTCACTCATTAGACCTCATTTTGTCTTTGCAATAAAAACTTTGCATTTAACGATTGAATTTCTTATTGATAATTTTCCTCGGAACATATATCATTCTAGATTTCATCTTGCCGCAATTCTTTCATCATTATAATCACTTATCAATTTCATCAAGAAATCAGTACTAATTTTGACTGATGTAAATAGTCGATTTAAACAGGGGTCAATGTTTGCATTCACTGAAGAAAAAAATAGCCCGTTTGTGCATGCAAAGATTTTTTTTTTTAAATTCAAAAATTTAAGGAATTTAACAGGAAACAATAAACTACTAGTATGTCCTGGACAAGTTTCTGTACATCCCTGAAAATCACGTTTTATAGAAAATATCAGATTGGAGCAATCTTATCATTTGGTAATAAACACCGCGGGTGTGACCGGTTGGCAGGGGGATGCTCACTCCTTCTTGGCACATGATCCCACCTCTGATGTTTTGGATGTCCGTGTTTGCTCTGCTCCATATTTTGTATTGTTTTATGGACTTTTGATTTTGAATACTTTTCATAATTTCCATATGTTTTGAAGATAGATTTTACCATTTCTTTCATTAATTCTTTATAGAATTGGATTTTTTTTAATTTCAAATAAGAAAAATTTTCTGCAAAGCAGCTGTTGCATAAATGCTTACTAATACCGTTAATACATTTTCAGATGTACGGAAATAAAAAGATACACGAATCAACCTTAAAGTCTTTATTTGAAAGAGACATTGGTAAGCGTCTGTTATAGTTATTACAGTTACTATAATTAATGATACCTGCTTTAATTATTATGTACTGATATTTAAATTACTTATCGTACTATTTAACTATTTTCTTGATTTTATATTATTCTTCATTCCAGAGGAAATTGAGGCGATTGATATTTCTAGCTTAAAAGAGGTTGGCCATGATAAAAGACGGTAAGAAAAATAACCCCAAAGAATCTTTATTTGGTTTATTCATCAACTCAAAAGATAAAAACTATATTTAAAAGGCAAAGTAGGAAGTAGGGGCTAATAGGTCCTCTGTAGGGAACTAAAACTTGTTTTCTCACTAAAATTTTATTTAAACATTTCAACAAGTTTATAAAACGAGGATACCAACATGTTAATGTCATCATTTTGTAAGTTTTATGCTCGATATGTTCATACTAGTATATAGTACATCCCATCATTGAGTCAAATATTGACTGGCGTTTTCGTACTTATTATCATGCCATTATTGAAACTCTGAATTGTCTGCGAAATTTTCGTTTTTCCCGAACACAACAAGGAACATACGGCAGAGGTGACCGGTGGTCAGGGGATGCTCACTCCCCATGGCACTTGATCCTACCTCTGATATTTTTGTTTGCTCTGCTCCAAATTGGTATTGTTAAATGGTACTTGAGATTGAAAACTGTTCATTACCTCTATATTTCATGAAACCTATCAGAGGTTGCATTTTATCTATCTTATAGTTGCCTTGAGTGTCAATAATTGGCAAATGTTATTAGAAATGGTTTCTTTTTTAACCATTAAACTGTTTTTTTTTAATTAAGATTCACTTTTGGAGGAAAATTAATAGATGGTCCCTGTTCATTTAGAGATTATTTTTCTAGAAAGATGAACTCTTAAGATATTTTTTTGAAAAACAGTGAGCGTGACTATCTCCACAAAACTTTATATTCTATTACCTTTTAGGAAGTGTTTAGTGCTTTGAGTCTTCAAAACTATCTTCTTTAATTGCAATTTTGTATTTGTTAATATGTAGCTTTAAAAATATCAAATTCAAGATCATTTTGTCTTTACTGTGTATTTTACTGTAACGAAAACGCTTTTTTTGAAATTAATAGATCAAATGTCCGGAGTACCAGAGGGTTATCACCAACAGAACTAAGCTTGTCAGCTTTTGGTGAGGATTATCAGTTACAAGTATCTAAACCGGCATCCGTGTTACACCCGGAAGTCAAGATTGTAACCAGGAATGAAGATGGCGACCAAGAGTGGAAAGGAATAATTCCGGATTGCTTCTTGGTCGGTCACGTGACTTCACACAACGGAACTGCTTCCCTGTCACATTGTGAAGGCTTGGTAAATTATTTACGTATTATGCTTCTTATAGAAGTCGCAATACTTTCGTCCAACTCATAATTTGTGACCAATTTCTACAGGAATGTTTTCATTTGTGCAGCATTTTTTCTCCACGAAAACACTGTAAATCATATTTTGGATGACTTTTATTAGCATTTTAAAATCTTTTTTGCAACATTTTTGATGTTTAGAAAGGAACACTAACCACGCCATCTGGAGATTTTCAATTGAGAGAACTACCCAAAGTTCACAACAAAAGACTCCATTTCTCAGATGAAGATACCGTTCTTGTGGTTGGTAGAATGAGACAAAAGAACAACATGGGAGGGACAGCTGTTGACGTCAGAGGTGACACAATATCTTCTACCCTTTATCATATTTTAGAGGATTGACTGTTTCGTATTCCCTTTAATTTATCGGTTTTATAATCCAACAATTCTTTTTTATTAATTGCTGCATGTACTTCAACGAATATATAATCTGAATTTCCTACTTAAAATTTGTTAATAAGTTAAACCAATGAAAAATACAAGATACGTAATGCAAAAAAAAAATTACAAAATCTTGTTAGATGTCAGTCTATCTGCACTGGATGACCAAATAAGAAAACTAAAGGACAAACACAGAAGACAGACCACCACAAAGGATGTGGTTGTTGAACTGGCAGTGTATACTGACAGCAAATACACAGAAAGACTTCGATCTAAGGACACTGCAAGGAGAATTGAACTTATGATCGTAAAATATAACGGGGTATAGAATTTCATTGCCTGAATATATTAAAGATTTAATGATAAAAAAATTAAAATTCATTTTTAAAATATTTACAGATGTAAAAATTTTCCTAATAAAAACCTATTAGATCAATCCATATTTAAACCTATTATAATTACGGGTTAGTTTCATGACCACATAGTTATTGTTTTAAATGACGTAAGCTTACAGTGAAATCATATGTTGCCATGGTTTTTTTTTCAAAATATTCAACATATCCTTATTTGCTGTTTATTGGAATCTTATGATTTACCGGTATTTCGTTTATAACAGTCATAAATGTAAAGATAATACTCCGATTTGTGGAGTTTAATGACTTACCTGTATTTGTTTTCAACTGTAACATTATTTCTCAATTACCTGAATAATACAAGTTTTTACTATAATTGCTAATCTCCTTTAATTATGACGTTTGCTTAAATTGATCCAGGTACAGATGGAATATTCTAGATCGGATGCTCTCGGATACAATGTAAAAATCCAGATTAAATATTTTGGTTTTTGGGAGAAGGATCCGGTAATGATATTCTTCTGATTCTTATCAATTAATCATTTTCCAATATACATAGATATCATTTTCTTAATTAAGGCGTAAACCTCAAATTTTGCGAGAATAAAACTGAGCAAATTACGATTTTATATTTACAGTCCTTTTACTCAACACATTATCACCTTGGGAAAATCATGGATTCATTTTGTGTAGGCATGCGCAAGAGTCCCATAAATTATGATATCTTCTATATGCATACTGGGTACGTATATGTTTTAGCCTTTCTGAATGAAAGAACTATATGCGGTATATTGAATATATTTACCCCCACAAAAGTCAAATTTTGAAAACTTCCTGAAATGTGCTGAATTCAATAAATTGTATGAGAAATATAAAGTGACGGAAAATATTATAGTGTCAAAGCAGTGTATTCACAATTTTGTTTTTATGACGTCACAAACTAGTCCAATTTTATATCCTTTTTTCAGAAAGAGGACAAAATGGACAAAATGGACAAAATTTCAACAATTTTATCTTTAAAATTTATAGAGCGCAAGTTTGTTCAGGAACAATATTGACATATTTCATTGATATTATCATTCTACACATTATATCAAAATATTGATCCTAAACACACATGCGCTAGGTGACTTTTACTCAAAATATCGACGAAATATGTACATTTTTCTGTAAAATTCATAAAAACTGATTGGAAATTTACGTCATGTTTGTGACGTCATTACGTACATATGGCGTCATTACTTATGAAAATATTCAGTGCTTTGAAGTCAGCATATACTCCCCTGTTTAAGAACTTAATTGAATATATCTCCATTAAAGTTTGATTTGGGGGGCAAATATTGGTTATTTAAGAAATAAAGTCCGCGTTTTCGTGAATGTTGCAGGATAACCTCCGACGTCTCGAAATGTTGTTTGAAAGATAAAAGCAGAGGCGTTAGCCGAGGCTTTTATATTTCAAACAACATTTCGAGACCGAGGAGGTTATCCTGCATCATTCACGACAACGCGGACTTTATTTTTATTCTACCATGTCTACTAAAATCGCTTGAATACGGCTGGTCGTTTTCTTTATAGAGAAACGAATTAGGTCAACATGTCTCGATTACGCTGTTCCATTTAACAACAGAGGGAAAATTTGTTTGCTTACCTATGTATGGAATGCAGTCGATTTGAGCTTTCGTTGCATTAAAAATAGCTTTTTTAAATTACAAATTTGTTCGTAATATGTATTGATTAGTTTTAATGAATATACAATAACAAAATCATGTTCCTGTTTTACTTCTTTAATGGGACTAAAATCATGAGTTTAAATGTGTAGAGAGGTCCGTGGAATATCTCCGTTTAGCTAGAAAAACCGACAATCATCAGCAACTTGATGCAATTTACAGTGTTTATACTGCAAAAGACGACGCATCGATATGGTCAAAACAAGAATTTTATGCTACAACCAAACATGTATTTGAATTGTTTAGGTTTGTTACGTGTTTCTGATCTGATAATTTTTTGATGACGTTCGTGATTTATTGGAGAATAATGTCCGCGGCATTTCTTTGACGTAGGCAATAATCGTTGTAGAATACCGAATAAAGTTCTTTGTATAATACAAACTGTAATCACACTTAAAGCTCAAGTATGTTTTATTTTATGTATTGTTGTCAGGTGACAAGTACTCAGGTATTCTATATCCGTCTTTGATCTCGCAATCCCATAAAGCTTTGCGTCTTTTTCAAAACCACTGTAACTTTCAACCAGATTTGAGATAAAGCATCCTAAAGGTGATTCAGTATTTATCGAACGAAAAACTAATCATTCACAAGGGAACATAAAGATTAAAAAAATTGAAAATCTTTTTTAAACAAGTGCAGATTAAAATTAAAAAGGTGAGCGCTGTGGTCAATGGGGCTTCTTGTTTCTCGCGATTTGTCATTCACTAAGTTTCTCCTTCTTTATTTAGAAAAATCAAAAAGTCATAAAATGTCACCTGTAATGAAAGCATTTTAATTAGTAATGTCAAATCGATTGCTTGTAACCGGGTTAATTAAAGTAATTTTCATCAGAGAACAAGATATTAGTAAATCAAAGATTACGAAGCTCATCTCGACGAATGTTATCTTTAAAGCAAATATCACATCATATTTTTTTTTCTACTTGTATGTATTTCAAATTCAATATCCAAGCAAATGAATTTGCTCCAAGACTGTAATATGTTTAATACTTAGGAAAAAGTTAAAAGTTCCAAATCTGGATCAAGTATGGAAGAATCCATCCTTAGAAGTATAGTAATTCATAATAGACTGTATTATAAATTATTATTAAGCTACTCCAGAATTATTACCCTGATCACTCTTTTTAAGAATGTAAGTCAAATTCGGCATTCGAAGCAAGTCTGGTAGAGTCCATCCCTAGATGCATAACCATGTAATGTACCAAGTTTTATCAAGATAGAGCATATGGTTAGTTTAAAATGAACCCGTTCCAAATACTTTTAAAAACATGGTCACTCATCGGGAAAAGTAGGTCAAATACAGCAACTCAAGGAAGTTTGGTAGCGCCTAGTTGCATCACCCATGCAAGTTTAGTCAAGATATATGGTTTATAGGTACGCGCGACTTGCTCCTAAATCTTTAACAGGAACGCCCACGCTAGCCTGACACCGACACAGGGGTATAGCAGATGCTCATCTCGACTTCGTCGAGGTGAGCTAAAAGCAATTTCTGAAATTAACAACAAGTAAACGCTCTTCTCCATTGTTCCCATATTTATGTAGTAATATAGTACACTATCATTACATCATTGGTAGCTGGCGTTTATTTCTCCCTATTTCTGCGATAGTCACGAGAAAACTTTAAGTGCAATCAATTTCTTAACCTAAACAGAATTCTGAAAAACAAAATCAATGTTACAGTCATTTTAACAATTTTGTTTGGAATCAGCATTTTGTAAAGTATTTTGACGGTGTAATGTCCTTTCTAGAAAATTTAACCTACCAATTGAATGGTTGTATATATATTCACTGACACGTAAGATCCTTGGCAAAAAATTACTCCTATATGCAATAGACAGGGGATGCTTAGTCTTCCTTGGTACCTAATCCTACCTATAGAAATTCCAGTTGTTTCTTTCTTTTATATTGATCAATATCTTTGCAAGTGATTCTTCACTAACCTTTTAGGGAGACGCCAACTAACATTGATGGTAGTGCCTTTCAGTCTTCTGCTTGTAATCCACTTTACCATTGTGGTATCGATAGTTTGCCAGTATTAGCACACACAGGTACAGCCCACGAGCTAGGACACAGGTAAGAAAGGATTGATTGGTTGTATGTTGTTTAATGTCCCTCTCAAGAAATTTCCACTCATTTGGAGACCCCACCAGCTGCCGGTGGATAGCTGCAATTTGTCCTATACTCGGCACTCGGGACTTTTTCGTGCTAGTACTTACTGCGACACGGGACCTCGGTTTATACGGTATCATCCGAAGGACCGGTCTCCATGTCCCACAGTGGCACTGGGATTCAAATCCGCGAATAAGGATCAACTCCTTTCTCCGCGACACTAGACCAGACGCTCTAACCTCTGCACCACGCGGGCGATGGTAAGACAAGAAGACACAATATTGTTTAAATACACTGTAATAGGTTTGGAATATGCAATATCTCATTCATTGAAAGCAGGGAACAATGTCATAAATGGTAAGAAGACCAAAACAACTGAAAATACAAAAAATATGGAATGATTATTTAAAAAATAATGTTGCCATTGTTTTAGTTAATGTGTATGTACTGTTCTCATTCTATTAAAAATACACGTGTATATGTACTGTATATCACTGAAAGAAACGTACTAATATTTTTTAACATGTTTAAGTATGGGAATGCGGCATGACGATGAAGTAGGATGTACTGGAAGTGACAGAGGTGTGATGGGAGGACAAGGGACAGGCTGGAGTTCCTGCAGTATCAGAGACTTTGATAAATTTCTACAGTATGTCTAAAAAATGAACTGTAATAGATTTTTATATACATGCTAGTTAGTTGAATTATCTTCCTTTCATAAGTTTCGATCTCTATATATATCCGCCGAACTATATGACCTTAAGTTAATATGTTACATTTTCTCTCACCTTTAAAGCCGCTTAATTAACCCGAAACAGGCACATATTATCTTATACAATAAAAGTACTTCATTACATAGATAATATATAAAAAGAAATTATAAGATTGATTTAATAGTTTATTACAACAATCCTTACATGGAAAATGCAGATCAAAAACCTTATTGACAAACAGTAGTTCCTAACGGAAGTTAAGATCTGTTGTTAAGTCAATTTTGAAAAAAATAAGTTTATCGGATATATCTAATAATGAAGATAATTTATACCCGAGTATTTTTTTCTCTATTACTGTGAGTATAAGAAGCCTTAGTCATAATACATCTTTTCAAAATTAAGAAAATAATTGAACATAGTAATTTTTATATTGATATGCATATTTAAAGACTAAAGGAAGATCAGATATTTAAAATAATTTTTTTGAAGGGAGCTAAAATATTGTCCGTGTACAGGTTATATATGTACTTTGTTGTGAAAAAAAAAATAATGCTCGGGTTCGTTCTTCATGAGATAAACATGTAAGCGATAAATTTAATTTTTCGAAGGTGATTTAACAATCGCAACTTCTCGGGCCTTTCCGACTATAGCGGAAAAACGACCTCGAATGTATATGGTAGCCGCCATGACACCTCCCCCTTTTCACGATCTTTGAACTAAATGCATGGAGATATTTTATCTGTGGAATATGGAGTTGAACTTAATTCAATGTAATGATATTACCTAAAATATACTATAGAAGGGACTTCTTACTCCGTCCTTTCTATATTTGACTAAACAGGAAATGTATAAATTTTTAACATCCGGTGATGTTAATACATTCGAGGTTGTTTTTCCGACCTCTGACGGAAAGACCCGAGATGATGCGATTGGGTGATTTAACGCAATATCAACAATGATCAACATAGGATTATTTTTTGTGTGACCTAACAAAAATTATTTTTTCAACTTTTGAATTTTGATATCTTTTAAAAGAAAAGGACTTTGGTGACATAATTTGACAAAAGTTGAAACAATTTATGGACAATTATTTTTCAAGAAGAAAATCGAATATATATTTTTAGCGATTAGAATCGGACCAAGCGGCTTTAAGTTTTCGATGTTCTCCATTTAGACAAAGCTTTCGCGGTCTACTCATGACTAAGGCAGAGATGAACTGAATGCAAATTCTTCTTGATTTCAGAAGTGAGAAGGGCCAGTGTTTGTTTCGCAAAGATGTAACCGTCTTTGGTCCCCTCACACCAGCGCTTCCTGGTAACACCATTCTTAAGCTTTTACATGTAACTTCCCCGGACTGTATGCTCAAGAATATTTTTACTATCACATTTTGTCTGTCGTCTATCTGTCTGTCTGTTTACTTTTTCGACCTCCTGACCATAACTTTTGTGCCAATTTCTACCAAACTTGTCACTAAGGATTCTTGGGTGAGGGGAATGGTAATAAGAATAAGGAAAGATTTGTTGGTGCAGTAATTATGTTCCCCAAACGAAGTTGGGGAACATATTGTTTTTACTCTGTTTCTTATTATTATTATTATTATTATTATTCTTTTTTCTTCTTATTTCTTCTCCGGTACTTTTTTGTCCGGAAGTGTTCTCAGAAACTGTTCACCAAACTAAGTTAAAACCTTTTTAGGGTTAGTAGGCATGTTGTGTAGATGTGCCGAACGAAGGTCATTTTGCGCGCATTCGCATGCACGTGCGGGCGCGTGCAATGAGTAAACTGACTGATATATTTAATATGGTTGTAACTTTTATATTTTTTGATAAAATGTTTTGAAACTCATTATATAAAGATATATAAGTTGTGTAGATAAGATGACATGGTCAAATTTGCCTGAACTCACGCGCATGCACGTGCGCTTTGCTCTGATTGGCTGAAACAGAAATCTTAATATCTTTTTTGTTTTATGATGAAATGCTTTGAAATTTATAACATAGACATGTTTTATGATGTACTACAATATGATATATAAAAAATTTCATGAAATCACGCGCATGCACGTGCGCTGCAATCTGATTGGCTGAAACTTTAAATGACTATAGCTCCCTTGGTTTTCAACCAAACAGCATGGGATTTAGAACATAGATAGACATAAAGGACTCCTACAAGATGGTATGGTCACCATTTACATGCATGCACGTGCGCTTTGCTCTGATTGGCTGAAACAAAAATCTCAATATCTTTTCTGTTTTTTTACAAAATGCTTTGAAATTTTAAACATAGGCATACTTTAGGATGTCCTACAATAAGATATATAATAATTGTCATGAAAACACGCGCATGCACGTGCGCTGCAATCTGATTGGCTTAAATTTTAAATGGCTATAACTCCCTTGTTTTTCAACCAAACAGGATGGGATTAAGAACATAGACAGACATAATGGACTCCTACAAGAAGGTATGGTCATCATGCACGTGCGTGCACGTGCATATGAGTAAAATAGTGTAGACAAGATGATATCGTCATTACGCTCATGCAATCACATGCGCACGCCTGCATTGCTTAAATTTGAAATACTTGGTATACTTTTGGGAAAACGTTGTTTACGTCTTAAATGCATAGATTTTGCCTTCTTTAATGAAACTTACAGGGAATACGGCACGAGAAGGGAGTTGGGGAGCGTTTGGGGAACATCTGTAACGGTTCCCGTTACAATTAGCACTAGTTATTATGTTCCCCAAACGAAGTTGGGGAACATATTGTTTTTACTCTGTTTCTTATTATTATTATTATTATTATTATTCTTTTTTCTTCTTATTTCTTCTCCGGTACTTTTTTGTCCGGAAGTGTTCTCAGAAACTGTTCACCAAACTAAGTTAAAACCTTTTTAGGGTTAGTAGGCATGTTGTGTAGATGTGCCGAACGAAGGTCATTTTGCGCGCATACGCCTGCACGTGCGGGCGCGTGCAATGAGTAAAATGACTGATATATTTAATATGGTTGTAACTTTTATATTTTTTGATAAAATGTTTTGAAACTCATTATATAAAGATATATAAGTTGTGTAGATAAGATGACATGGTCAAATTTGCATGAAATCACGCGCATGCACGTGCGCTTTGCTCTGATTGGCTGAAACAGAAATCTCAATATCTTTTTTGTTTTATGATGAAATGCTTTGAAATTTATAACATAGACATGCATTAGGATGTACTACAATATGATATATAAAATTTTTCATGAAATCACGCGCATGCGCGTGCGTTGCAATCTGATTGGCTGAAACTTTAAATGAGTATAACTCCCTTGGTTTTCAACCAAACAGCATGGGATTTACAACATAGATAGACATAAAGGACTCCTACAGGATGGTATGGTCACCATTCACATGCATGCACATGTGTGCACGTGCGCTTTGCTCTGATTGGCTGAAACAAAAATCTCAATATCTTTTCTGTTTTTTTACAAAATGCTTTGAAATTTAAAACATAAGCATACTTTAAGATGTCCTACAATATGATATATAATAATTGTCATGAAAATACGCGCATGCACGTGCGCTGCAATCTGATTGGCTTAAACTTTAAAACTCCCTTGTTTTTCAACCAAACAGGATGGGATTAAGAACATAGACAGACATAATGGACTCCTACAAGAAGGTATGGTCCTCATGCACGTGCGTGCACGTGCAAATGAGTAAAATAGTGTAGACAAGATGTTATCGTCATTACGCTCATGCAATCACATGCGCACGCCTGCATTGCTTAAATTTGAAATACTTGGTATACTTTTGGGAAAACGTTGTTTACGTCTTAAATGCATAGATTTTGCCTTCTTTAATGAAACTTACAGGGAATATGGCAAGGGAAGGGAGTTGGGGAGCGTTTGGGGAACATCTGTAACGGTTCCCGTTACAATTAGCACTAGTTGCCTTTTAAAATTCTTCTCAAAAACAATATGGCCGAACAAAAAATTAACACTGACCTAAAATGTGGCCTTCTACCGACGACATATTGTTAATGAACAATGGTTACATTGTATTTCCATTCTTTTGTCAATACTTGTACGAAATATCCCGGTGAACCTGAAACAAAACTAACTACAGAGACTAATACATCTTACTTACCTATGAGTACGTATGAACAATTTCTAAAACGAGGTATAGATTATTAACAAACAGTCAAATTTTGACTGACGTTTTCGTACTAATTATAAGACCATTATATATGTACACTGAATTGCCGATGGGTGTTTTCGATATTTCCCGGACATGGATCACATGGCGGCTGTAACTATTTGGTAGAGAATGTATTCTCCTCCATGGCACCTGATCCCACCTCTAATGTTTTAGAGGTCCGTGTTTTCTCTGCTCCTGATTTGTATTGTTTAACGGACTTTTGAATTCGAATAGTGATCGTTAACTCCCGATATTTTATTCCATCAATCCTTCCTTTCATTAATTTCTTCAAACCTAGCATCCAGTGGTAGGAAAGGCACAATTATTATAGACGATCAACGTTTACATAGAATATCTTTTCAAAATAAAAACAGTCGCCCGTTTTAAGTAAACAAAATATCACGATTCTGTTGAAATTAAATAGAAATGATTTTAATGATTTGAAAATGTAACTCTGATAAATAAATCGGATGTGAATGGTAATTTTAAATGAGCATGATAAAATACACTTGTTTTTATTAGTCAAAATTGCGTTAAAAATGCTTTTGAGATCATTTTCACGTATAAACCATAGGCGCTTGGGTCAAGGATACTGTATTTTTTCTACACAATGTATTGTCGAGGAAATTCGAACTATACTCGTTACATTTTTTTTCTCTCAGTGTGTAGTGTTAATTTTTAGTTTTTTGTAAACCTTTCTGCTTCATATACACTAGAATGTCGCGGAAATTCGATTTTATGCAAGCTTTAAAAATGACATATCCCACTGTATACTAAAAAGAAACTTTTTTCAATTAAAAATCAGTTTGCAATTTCTTTGAATACAAATACATAGTGCCTCTTTGACCCATCAGGACAATTTTGAAGGGCGCAATTTCTGTACTGTAATTCTATACTCGTGTATCATTCATATTTTTAGACATTCCTGAAAAGGAACTTAAATGACATTTTAGTATACAGTGGGATATGTCATTTTTAAAGCTTGCATAAAATCGAATTTCCGCGACATTCTAGTGTATATGAAGCAGAAAGGTTTACAAAAAACTAAAAATTAACACTGCACACTGAAAAAAAATGTTACGAGTATAGTTCGAATTTCCTCGACAATACATTATGTAGAAAAAATACAGTATCCTTGACCCAAGCGCCTATGGTATAAACACTAAAGAAAAAAAAACTTCCTGTTTTATCGTAAATAAAAGTTTTTTGCTTGCTTTTGCCAATATTCTAGGTCAGATGCACAGTGCAGACGAATTATGTGAGATGCAGTATGGCCCTAATTTTCACTTCCGTAATTTTTACTTTCTTGGGGTAAGAATATCATTTAATATTACATTTTCATTAGTGAAATACTGTAATTTATTCATTGAATAAAAATTATATCCTGTCACATAACGAAGAGTGTTGTAAAAATATTCCTTAGACTGTTATAATATATAAAGAGAGTAAATAAATCATTCTGACAGAGAATAAGACTGCCAAATGCCTCAACTATGACGTCATTTAGCGTATGACTGTATATCATATTACAAAAAATCAAATATGCAAAGGGAAAATCAAAGAAAATGTAATAAACAGAAAATCCAATGTTTTGTAGTGTAATATGGTATTTACTTCACTCATGAGACAGGATTTTTTAATATTTTTCATTCGTGAAAATAAAAAAAATTCTGTCACATTCGTGAAATAAATTCTATATTCAACTACAAAGCATTGAATATCCTCTATTTATTTTACCGTGACAAATTTAGAATAACGAAATCTTCTATATAAACATTGACTTGTAGTTTATATGTTTTGATTTCTTTTAGGATTGCGAGGCTTTATATAGCTGTGCAGACTTGAACGAAGGAAATTTATTTGGACAAATGATTACGTCATCAACGCACACTCTAAATGGAATATATTGTGGAACAGGCAAAGTAAGGCCTGTACAAATTTACACAGATAAATAAGACCTTTCTAACTTTCGTGCTGTATATATAGCTATATTTCACAGCATTAAAGCTGCATGTCTTTTTTGAACAGATATGTTTCAATCGGAGATGCGCGACATTTGAAGAGGTCAAAATGAAACCAGGTGTTGTCAGGCCCGGGGGATGGGGACCTTGGGCAGATTGGCAGCCCTGTTCCAGGACTTGTGGGACAGGGTTAACCTACAGGAGGAGATTCTGCAACAATCCAAGGTTTTAATTTGTGGGGGGGGGGGGGCTAAAATATAGTTTGATATCTTTCTCTTTTTTCAAAGTCTTTCAATGTTCTTAAATGTTGTTCCTGTATTTCTCGACATGAGATTTAAGTCCATTTAGCACTATATAACAATTTTACGGTGTTTATTTGTTTATTTTTCTTCTATTCTAAAGTACTAAGTATACAGTGATTCAAAAATGGGTATGTTACCTAATTATCATGTGATTAATTTCGCGTTTACTTGCACTTAGTATATCAAGTTCAAAATTTTCAACATGTTACTTGTATATTAAAACCATGGGCACTTGTTTCAAAAATATTTTTTAACCCATAGTATATGAAAATAACACTAATACTATGAGTTAAAAATATTATTTCCGAATGAAAACATTTTGTTTGTACTCCAGTCCTTTTAACCATCCAGGCTGTGAAGGTGGAGATGACAATGGATATGAAGCCAGGACTTGCAATCCCGAGGTTGGTTGATAATCGACACGTCCTTGCAATGGATGATTTTCTTAAAATCAGTTCTTTGAATCTAATAAAGTTATGATACTAAACTTGCATCTTATAAATTAACACATATATAAGGTAATCTTTGACATGGTATTTAATTGAAGCCTTGCCCTAACGACAGTTCCGACATAAACACGCTTATTAATCAGCGGGCGTCTGAAACCTGCAGTAGATTGTTAAAGAATAAAGTATTGGACTCTACAAAGTACACATCGGTTGGAAGGAAAATGAACTCTAATGGTACGGTAGAGATCTGCTTAATTTGCATCATCTGCTTGTCGCGGTTATTACACTTAAAGTTTTAAACGAAAAAGTGTACCCGCCACCTAGCTATGATATAAGAAGGGCTATTTGGCATTTTATTATCAATTGCAGTTAAGTGCGCCGTTTCATTACGTCGCGATATTTTTCCACAGATGCACCCAACGTAAACAATTCACGCCCCTGCTTGTGCCATTGGTCACGTCATTTTATCAACATGTACATTAACTGCAATTCATAATATTTGCAATGCAATTTTGAAAAATGAACAAAATTTCGTTCTAGAGAACATAACAATTTTTTTAAGAAATGGATCTAAAAATACCATTGTAGGGCATATGAAATGCGAGGTGTCATGTGCTGCGGTGTCGGGATACACTACTCCTTCTTTTACAAGGTTTGGCTTAATGCCCCAAGGTACCCCGTGCCAAGGGCCCGCTGAAAAGAACTACAGATGTTTGGACGGCTATTGTAGGGTAGGGATAAATTTATTAGATTATACAAAGTTATAACGTTTGTTTACAATTGCCTGCCCACCAAAAAAAGTGGATTTTTTCAAAAAATAAAGAAACAACTCACATGTGCAGCCCTGGTCAACCAACTTTAAAAAAAAAATATAAAACGACATCCACAAAGTCTTACAATTTATTCTTAGCTTCAAGCAAAGACAAACAATGTTTATACCTGCCTTTCGCACAGTTGTATTATCACATATTTAATTACAGAATTTAATTCTGGTTGTAAAAACATTTTTGATTAAATTAATTTATACTGTATAACCTTACTGTTTTGTCACAACAACTTGCGTAAAAACGTATCAACGTATTAAAGTTACATTTAAATTTTGTAAAATTAAAAGTCATAATTGATATGAAATTGTCTTTTGTCTTACACTTAGTGGAGACTTGAGACTTGTTACAAGGAATAACCTTAATATAGCTACAGATATTATACGGTATGACCTGCTTTGGAGTGGTTTACGTTATTTTGTAAACCGCATGAATGAAACGGTTTAGACAAAAAAAAACGTTATTTTAACCCATGCAGGTTATATACCTATAACTTGGGTAGCTATATAAAGTTAATCCCTTAAGTTACCAAGAAGATATACACTGTACTAGTTTTGCATGTACTTACTGCCTGTTTTTTTTTGTATTATATAAACCTTAGTTTTTTGGTTGTAACGGAGAGCTCAACGGTAAATATGACATCTGCGGTGTTTGTAAAGGAGATAATTCTACGTGTAAAGTAAATGGAGTGTATACGGAGAGAACAGCACGAGGCACGTGAGATACCATAAAGGACTTCAGTATTTAAAATATTACGAAATCTTTTTCTTTCTCTGTTATTTATAGTGCTAAGAACAGTGGCAAGGTTTACTAAGGTATAAAAAGTATTGAACAGGATAAATGAAAAATAAAATCAAAATAACAAACAATTCTATGTCACAAAAACTAAACACTAACAATCTGTGAATAAAGCATAGTAAACAAGGTGACCTGGAAACTCCAGAGGTGGGATTAGGTGCCTAGAGGGAATAAGTATTCTCTAACCGCCCACTCTTGCTGAGAGCCCTACGTATTTAGCAAGTAGACAGAACATTTCGTGATCAAATCTAATAAAAAGAAGTAAATGCTTAACATTTAGAATGAAACAAACAAGCTAAAACACAACCAAGTGATGGGTTAGATCTGTTCGCAAAATCATTATAACACAAGTTTACAAAATTTATAAAATATTGGCCCTAAACTTGACGTCTTCACTTTCTCAAATTAGTTGTTATCTTATTAATTGTCTTTAATGAATGATTTTAATTGTTTTCAGGTACAAGGAAGACAATTACAGAGATACCCGCTGGAGCGATTAACATACGTTTCTGGTTTGACTGGCTAGGAGTTATGAGGGAAAACTATGTAGGTAATGGATTTACATTTGTCGTAACCTGGCTTAAATAAGCAAGCAGGGAGGCAGAATCTTAAAAATACACCAGAACATTCCCAGAAGAGAGACCTACATAATAAATTTTTTTGCAGACTAACATGGTCTTTATTCTAACATTATCATCTAAGATTATGCTTTATTATTTCGTTTTACTCACATACTTCCAGTTTTTTTAATGAATATTCAATTCTAATAAATAAGTTAAGTTACATGATACACAATCGGCAATCTTATATTTATAATATCCTATTGTTTACAACAGACATGTACTAAATTCTCAGAATTCTAATCTGAGGACATGTATTTTCAAGTATTTCTGTAAAATCACATATTTTAGTGGGGTCAAATTTTCATGGTTTGAGGAAAACCTCTTGTTTCGTGGGGCTTTGATTTCGTGGACAAAGAATTAATGAGTACCAATGTATGTAAAATTTTACATTTCGTGGTGGACATGAATTCGTGGGTCTCGTCATACCTCGAAAACAACGAAAATTAACCCCCCACGAAAATTTGTGATTTCACAGTACTAAGATACATATATGTGTATACAGTGAAATATCAGTATCTCGAAGTTGAGGGGACCTGGACACGAATTCGAGATATCCGGGGGTTCGAGATATCTGAAGTTATCTTCCAAAGTCGAATCGACGATGTCCCGTTTTTTGGTATATCTTCATGTGTAATACTATCCTGTATTACAAAACAAGCAGTCTTTATGGTAAAGTCTCAGGCATATTCGCAATAGATATTAAGAAAAACAATGCTGTTGTTTTCTTTATCGTGTATAATTGTAAAACAATGTACTTACCTTGCAAGGTAAATCATCATTATAATACAATGAATTCATCTACATTTGTCTCAGAAATCTACAACAAAGACGGACTTGTAATTCTGTCCAGCTTTAAACAGTGGATTTGGGATACGACAAAGAACCCCACAAATTTCGCGGGTACGTATTGGATGTATACTTGGTGGCGTCAGGACCTGTACGCTAAAGGGCCTCTCACAGAACCTGTCATCATCAAGGTAATGTCTCAATAGTTTTTATCAGTCCAAAGAGGATGGACACTAATTAAACAAACTATTATACACTGATGGAAACAAATTAAACCAACAATTATTCACAACACAAATATATATACGCGACTGCGGTAACATTCTACATAAATAAATATAATTCATGGTGAAAAATCTTCTAAAGTAAATAATGTTTGATAAGCTTTCAGATGTTTTGAATGTTGTTTACATCCGGTACAGTGCATATTGAAATACGACATTCACTCATATTTTCAGCACTACAGACATGGTGACAAGAATAATACTGGCATTAACTATACGTATACTGTACCAAAATCTGGTAAATGGAAAGATAAAACATAAAACTTTAAAACAGTAGCGTGAACATTTTTTTTACAGAAGTCATTGCTTATTTTCATATATACATACCGGGTTTTCATTTATAATTAATTCTCTTTAGTTCGATATATATTATCATAATCATGTTGAAAAGTCTCAGTCCTATTATGCTTACAATGAAAGTATATTATTATGATAAAAGTCGGTACTCCTTTATATATATATATATATATATATATATAATATATATATATATATATATATAAATATATATATATATATATATATATATATATATATAAAATTTTTTATTTCCATTGAAGCTAAAACTTGTCAAGGACAGTGCGCTAATGGTGGAACATTTAACACAAAGATCTGCTCCTGTGACTGCCCCAATGGATTTTATGGTTAGGCTATACCATTATGTTTTTTTCTTTATTTATATGAATGGTAAAAATTCAGTGTAATTTTTGACAACATTCCATGGCTAAAGAAAATTAAATTCCAATAGTATCGTATCGCCATTAGATTAGATTCATGTTTAATATGAATGGCACTATCTATGGTGAAAAATTCGGCATAAGTTTCGACAAAATGCAATAGATACGATCAGTTAGATAAAATACAATTTTTTAAACACAGAAAAATTTGAAATTGGATATAAGTATTTTTTTTACAAACTGTTTGCCTTTTGAGAGTTTATAATATGTATTGTTTTTTGTTTAAGCCCCCCCCCCCAAAAAAAATTCTCTCAAGACCATGGAGTTTTAATTGGCAAGCAGTTCACGTCATTTCCATCTGCTGAAGTCAAATTATTGCATGACAGATAATGACACGAGTTGGTTAAATTCGACAGGGACTTCTTTTTCATACGCAAAGTGAATTTCCAAGTCGTTTGAAATTCATGTAGAATTTTTAATGTGATATATCTACAGAGCTTAAACTTATTGTACAAGAACTCTTTCGATTGAATCTTTAACATTCAGAATATGTTGCATATATATTTCTTGGTTGAAACTAAATATTGTTTTCTCTCTTTTTGGACAAACAAAATAAAACTGGAATGAGGGTGGGAATCCAAAACCTTTCCTGTTTTATTTCCAAGTACCTGCTTCACCCCTCTTATGCATGAAACAGTCGTCTTCCAATTATTTCGATTAATTATTATAATACAATGTACTATTATTTTTTTTTTTAATTGAACAAAAAAACTCTGATTAATTTAATTCTGATTGTAACACTGTATTTGATTGGCTAAAAATTTACTTTATATCGTATATAATGGGTAACCTATGTCACCACGACTTGTGTCAATGCGCCTGACATTACATTCAAATTTTGTACAAATTGCAGTCATTTTTCAAGAACAATCATCTTTTTTTCTTACGCAAAATTAATGAAGATTAACTAATAAGGAATGAATTTAGTAGCCACCCATTTTATACGGTATTAACTGGGTTGGAACAGTTTAAGCTTTTTTATAAACCACTTGCGATTTATAAAGAGTAAACTGCCCCATCCCAGTTTATACCGTATAAAATGGGTAGCCATTAAATTAATTCCTCAATTCAAACAATCCCGAAATTGATATTATTTGTCTTCTTCAGTTACAAACACTCTGCATGATGGTACTTAGGGTGTATTGAACATGAATTTATTTTAAAGACCGTAGAATTTCAATCCCATATTTTCTCAGACTCCGCGTCTTAGACTATCGTTCCTACCTATTTAATAAACGTTATCAAATTCTTTGACTGTTAAAGAAATTATGTAGGCTTCATATTTCCATGAGAGTTAATATTGTGCGATATTAATAAATTTGCATCTCTGACTTTAATGATTCAATTGAAAATACCGGACTCAAACACAGAACACATTAAATTGATAAAAGAGGGTAAATGTTATCATATTTAAAGGAATATATATTTCAAATTATATGTTATATATATGAAAATGAATTTCGCTAAGCATTGCAACTGATTTTTTTAAAAACAGGACCGCAGTGCAACAGTCGCTGTAATATATACTGCTTTAACGGAGCAACAGTAGATCAGTCTAACTGCGCATGTCAGTGCAAGGAACACCAGACCGGAAGTCAGTGTAAATGTGAGGCTGGATATGGTGGCGAAGATTGTAAAACGAAAATTTAGGATATACTTTTTCTTGAAGATACATGTATCATTGAAAATAAAAAGTATTCTATACCGCTCTTTTGTGTCAATCTTAGTGTCAACATGATTTCCCTTAACAGGTAAATATACACCAGCCGATTTACTTTATTCTGTACCATTTTTAGCCGAAACCACTTGAAACAGTTTAAAATTTGCAGAATTATATACTGATGAAAAAATAGATCATTTAAAAGATACCACAGGGTCTGACACATCTGTTTCATACTTGGAAATTTTACTTGAAAAAGACGTTAATTGTAACCTAACAACCAAGATATAATGATAAACGTGATGACTTTCACTTTTCTATTGTCAACTTCCCTTACTTATGCAGCAATATACCTTCATCACCTGCATACGGAGTTTATATCTATCTCTGACAGTTATTTCGATACGCAATAGCATGCTCTATGTATGAAAAATTTCTAAAACGAGGTAAGTTATTGATAAACAAGTTGATGAAACAAGAATATCAGCAGTCTTATTTCAGGTCCACATTTTGCAAGTTCTATGGTCGATACAATGACCTTGTCAGCAAATACAATTTATCATTGAGTTAAATGCCGATTGACGTTTTTCATACTAATTGTTAGTCCATTATTTATACACTGAATTGACGACAGATTGTTTCCGTTATTTCCTGATCGTGACAAGGAGCACACGGCGGGTGTGACCGGTCGGCAGGAGATGCTCACTCCTCCGTGGCACCTGATCCCACCTCTGATGTTTCGGAGGTCCGTGTTTGCTCTTCTCTTATTTTGTATTGTTTTATGGACTTTGATATTGAATACTGTTCGTTATCTCCATATTCATCTTAAAGAAATTATCAAAAGACGAAGACCTAAGAGAGGAGTTTTATTTTTCTTGCTATCCATTGACACCCGGCTTGAGCCCTATACATTAAAGTTAAGTTTAGACAAGAATTTTGAAAACCTGTAACATCAACTAATCTGGCAGTAGCCTGTCTTAAAACTTGATTGACAGCCTTATTGTGAGCATGCTCTTGAGTATCGAATAATTTGGAGACATGAACAGCGTATGCAGGAGATGGTGGAAATATAATAATTATAAATTAGAAGGAAAAAAAGATGATGGAAAAGCTGATGGCATCTCGATAGTCACTTGTCCTTATCGTCTATACTCAATAAATATTCAAAAATGAAACAAATAGAACAGGCTCTGTAAGTTATTTTTGTTCAAGTTCACTGATATATATTGAGTCGAGATAATGACTGAGTTGAAATATTCATTGTTTATTGATAAATTTCAATGTATCTAGATTTTAATTGGAGGCCACAGCATTGATATATTATAAAGTGTATAAATTATTCTTTAGAATTTTTCATAAGTGAATTCTTCGATCCACTACATATAAAATGTCGGAGATGACAACTTTAAATGTCGGCAATAAAAACTATAAAAAAAAAAAAAAAAAAAAAAAAAAGTCGGGTATGGAATGCCATATACGACAGCCAACTGCTTACTGCCAACTGCTGACTGCTTACTGCCAATTGTTAGCTGCTTACTGCCAACTGCCACACATATTTGAATAAATTTTGTTTTTATATTGATATTTATGTAAATTAAAAAAAAAGGCGCGGATCTATAGGACATTTTTTCAAAGAGGGTCACTCTGGTAAAAAAAAATCCAACCCAGAAATTTCTTGACAAGAAAAAAAAAACATAAAGTCCTTTCCTAAATGTGAAAATTTATTTCGGCCGGGGAGAGGGGGTTCTTATACGTCATACCTTTATGTGTATGACATTTTTCATACCAACTTAACACAAATCCATATTTTCGGTTGGGGAGGGGGGGGGTCTAATTTAAGGTCCATTTTAGTTTATTTATTTTATACATTAAATAACTTTTAATTGGTTTAGTTTGTGCAATAAATAACTTTACAAATTTCAAAGGGGTGTTTTAGACCCCTCTCTCTAGATCTATGCATGTAAACATATTTTATTTGTACAAACAAAGAGCTATTTATAAATGTTTGATCGGCGTTTTCTAAGTGGAGGGTCCAAAGTCAGTTATACCGGTAATTCGTTTAGTTTCTTTAATGTATGACTGTACAAATTTTAACCCCCCCCCCCGAACTCTGCATGTGAAACATTATAACACACAGAGATAAACATCTTTAATTTGAGTAAAGAACGAGGGCGCTTTTTATTCACTGTAGGAAAGCGGCTGACCGTAGTATATACTACGGTCATCAAAACATGTCGGCCGAGGTCACCGGTTAGAAATTTTCAGTCAAGATTTTAAACATTTGCTAGGTTTTCTGTGTTAATTCTTGCAAAATTTAAATGTACGCTAATGAGAACTTGCTATAGGTTAGTATAACTTACTTGAATTTAAAGAAATAAAGCTGTAGTAGGACCTCAAAGTTTTTGACAATGATGACCGTAATAACCACACTCGACAAAGTAGATGATGACCGTAATATAATTATAGAGATGACCGTAGTATATGTACGAGGGCCGTTCAAAAATTACGCGGACTGTGCTATTATTTAAACTTACAGACGTCATAGAGATATGAAATTTCACAGAAATATGTATCTCAAAGATTCCAATAAATTTTGGTCAAAATTCCTGTATTTTAAAAACATTCTACTGAAATTATCGGTATATTGATATCGCTGATGGAGAGGTACGGAGCACGACAAAAAATCTGAAGCAAAAGAATTTGGAATCCAAAATTTAACTCATTTATTTTCTATAATTCGCAATAGTTTTCGACAATTTTCTCAAATTTATCTTTAAATTGTTCTATTATTGTGTATTTGGATTTCTGGCGTGATATTTGAAGTATTAACAGAAATAAAGTGATTTTCCTCTGATGCGATTCCCGAGAAAACGACTGTGAAAATGACGTCTCGTGAAATGACGGTGCATCACACTTTAGTTAAATTATGTGTAATGCTCGAAGTATTGCCAACATAGATCCAAAATATGAATAATAAAACATGTAGTAAACTAGGGTATTCGTGACATTTGTCCACAAATAGCAAATAGGAATTTTAGACCATTAGACCTCTGTTCAATGGCTATACGGGAGGACGGGAAGAAGATTATCGACGAAAACTTGATCCGGACTACAAAGAATGGATTGAGAGTCATCAATATCATACTATATCTCATAAGTACCTGCAGGTTTTTGGTTTTAAAACAAAAAAAGAATTTTCTTTACTTGTTTAAAAGATTTAAAGCTTGACAAGAAATGGTGTTTGGATGTTGAGTGGATAAGATAACTCAAACTGTACAGGTACTCTTGGGAAAATGCTGAGAAAATGAAAACTCAATCACATTTTTGTTATAATGCCTTTGACGTCGAAGATTTTGCTGCTCCGTGAATTAATGGTATGTCATGAAGAATCACTAAAAATTGATACCAATTTACAACATTTTGATATGAAATTTTGTACACCATATAAGTTAAGGTTCTTTTATATTATGTGCGACATTTTGCCCGATTTTGTCGTCAAATATTTTTTCTGTGCAGCAAGTCCGCGTAATTTTTGAACGGCCCTCGTACAAAATTAATTGAGACGAAAATATCTTATTCAATATCAGTACTAGATGTTCAATACAGATTACATTATACAAGATCTATATACTAATTAGTATGGAGGTCATAAAAAAGAACTGAAACTTTTTAAATATGATTGATTCAATACTTATCGATAAGAGAAGCCACGGTTAATTTAGAATGTTAAACAAAGTATTAATGAAAAAATCTTGAAAAGAAGTAACACTTTTCTTCGACCTGATTTTATTTTTTTCTGTTTTATTATACAATGTTATATACATTATGCATATAAAATGACAATAATAATAATTGCGACTATTAAGTTTATTTTGCATTCTTTAGGAATAATATTGATATTGCGACCATCACTACATTGTAAGTCCTAGTCCTCCTTTGAAAAAAGACAAACCTTGCCCTTCAAACAGTTTTACCCAAAATGACAGTGATTCATCACTATATCTCATGTATAATAAACCGTCCTTTGTTTATAGAACTTGCCGATATCAAGCAACAAGTGGAGTGCAATGTTGCCATGTTCTGATGTTTTTCATTAATGCACAAAAGTCATCCAAACGACCAATTTCTTCCATTTTCCTGATAACATCAGAAAGAACACTGTGAATTTCACTGCTTTCTGTGTTAGTCTCAGTATCTTGTCCAAACTCACATTGCTGCTGACGTTTACTTTCATGAACTTCATTTTTTTTACTTTCAACATTTATACACACTGTATATCCATAACTGATTTTTTTTTCAGATTTTTTTTTCTTTAAGTCCAGATAAGTATATAGGAAAGTGAATAGTATATATATATATATATATATATATATATATATATATATATATATATATATATATATATATATATATATATATATATTTTTTTTTTTTTTCAGTTTCTGAACTTAACCCTAACCTCGCTTCCAAATGGTGAAATATGCTATGTACACTGAACCAAAACTTATAAGTGTTCACCTTACATTTTTGAAATTATAGAGAACAAATGCAAACAATAAATGGTTTCTTTAATTCTTGGTTTATGATATAAATTTAAGTTCAAAGTTGCATAAATTTCATGTAAGTATCTCATCACAATTTTAAGCGAAATGTTAAGGAAATGATGTACCCTCAAAATGAAAATTCACACAAAACATCTATATGGAGTATGACCACCACTCGCTCTATAAATTACTTCAAAACAATTTTTACTGTTGGATACCATGTATCCCTGAATAGGAGATTGACCCATCTGCTGCCACACCTACTGTATAGTTCTTTCCAAACAGTCGAAATTGTGTGGAAAAGAAGGGCTTTGACTTTTATCATAAAATCCTAATAATGTTCAATGGGATTCAGATCCGGATATTTGACAGTGTATCTTCACACAGTGCCTTGTAGTTAAAATATTCTAGAGAGTGAACCACGGAAGTGCACCGATTCGGACTACTGAGTACTTGGACTGATTTTAGACTATCACGAGCACGGATTTTTTTTAAACAT